ATTAGGAACCGAACATTCAGGCAAGATTTGATTTTTCCTCTTTACTAGTCAGCTCTGTCTGAAACGTCTTACCAATAGATGCGACTTTATTACACACCTCAGTGTACCATTTCTACAACTCACTCAATGAACTTCTATTTGCACGCAGTTTAAACTTGAATACATACACTTCCTAGAAGAAAGTCTTTGAACTTATTTGTATGCCTGAACTTTATCCACCATTTTCGCTTAGTCTTTTAAATAGATACCGTTCATTTAATGTTCTCTATAAATTTGTCTACCGATTTGTTTCCTTACTTATCAAATTGCAGATAAATTTATTTATTTATCTTGGCCGATCTTCTTTTTATCCTAATCTCAAAAGCAGTTGAGTGTCCTACAGCCTGATAGCTGCTGGCTCTATAAACCACACTTGGTACAGACGTATTCATTTATGCTCGTAATATATGAACATCTGAATAGCTGTTAAACTCACCAGGATTATGAGGTTAAGCATACCGAGGGCCTCCACCTAAAAAACAGAGAACCTGAAGTGCGATTGGTGAATGACGACAATACGCTATCCACCACAGATTTTCGATAAGTTATTATTGGATTTTCCGCCAGTGAAAAAGGCCTTGGAATCACGTTCTGTAATACTGAGGTTGTATTTATCCATCGACGATTCTCAACTAATAATGTCCGCTTTCGTTGTTTAATTAGAGAAAAATCGGCATCTGGACTGCAGAATCATTCAAAATTGTTTTCATTGTTCGCTTAAGACTTCATTTAGAAAAAACCCTAGGCTATATTTCCTTACCTCAAGAAAGATATTGCTCTTGTGGAATCTGTTCGAAGAATGGTACTTAGAAAGAAATCCTAGTCTTATCGCTTGGAAGCTCTTTACTATCAGTTCAATTTCGGAGGATTTGAGTCGATACGGACATAATGTATCATATTGGTATTAGTGCTCACCATCCAAATAGACTACTGATACGTTTGAGTAATAGGCCTCACTGAAGAGAGCACCCACTGGGAATACAACGCGAAACGGCTTGCCTGAAAGTCTGCACAGACATTTTTACCATTTGAATCAGTAGGTTATAGACCCCCTAATTATAGCAGTGGTGATGGGTTTCTCTGCTGAATTTTCCGGAGAGTTCGATGATTAATTTGTCTCTGTCAGTACTATTAGGGAAAATGCTGGTTATTCGTGGTAATCAAGTTTATTTAAATTCGGTGCGCTATCAGTAACCAGAAATGTCAAATTTGCCCTTTAGTAGTCAACTATAGACCCAGTATGTTTACTGGTGTTCTCCCTGAGCTGAGGATGCTTCAAACAGGGATATCCTTAAATATGGAGGTCTAACAGATTGAGAACGGTTGAACCGAGCTTTTCCAAAACATATGATCTGAGCAATAGAAATGGTTTTGTGTATGCAGAGGGTCATGTTTCAACGGACCTACGACGAGAAATTTTCATGATAGCGTTTCTTATATGAGCTTCCCCAACAGGTGGGCTCACAAAAACACATTCGCTGAACTTATGTTTTTGCGGACGTGTTTTTTTAAATCATTAGTATAAACCATTTACAACATCAAAATCTACTCGCATACGTGACCAAAAGAAACTAATGATTATACTATATTTCGATATTAAGAAGACTTTGATAAAGTACCTCATAACCTCCTAATCAACGGATTTCAGTCAATCGGCATCGGAAACCCTCTATTGCAATGCATCAAGGATTTTCTCACAAACAGATACCAAATAACAGATATTAACACTAATATACCTACACCTCAACCAGTAACCAATGGTGTTGTGCAGGGTAGTGTCTTGAGTTCATTGCTCTTTACAGTCTACACCAACAATGTATACAAGTGCTTTGGCACATGTAAGACCTTGTATTGGCATTAGACCATAACCTCACAATCTTCAAAGCTAAACACAAGACTACTCAGAAAATAGATATTCAATATTTAACACGGAGAAATACCTAAGAATGGAGAAGGCGCGAACAATGAATTGGAGGAAATAGAGTTGATCGAACGGTATGGCTCGGCCATGCAGGCGTGGTCTCTGCTGAATGTTACCTTATATTTTCTATTCATATTAAATATATTGTTCTTTCTCTAGCCTAACCTTGTTCTACATCATGTATTGGTAATTGATACGATACAGTGAGTTGGTGTAGTCGATGGTGTGACTTCCACGTAAGATCTTATAGATTAGGCAGTTATATCATGACAAATCTACAAATTTAGGATTAGGTCTATTATTAGAGCAGTACTAATATCATAGTAGACCATAATTCCACAACGTGTCTCTACGCTGATGACTGAAAAGTCATATATATATAACTGACGTTTGCAATGTAGGTAGTACTATGCAAACAATCCATCATGAACTCAACATGGTAGACAACTGGTGCAAATACTGGAGGCTAGTGCTCAACACAGAGAAATGCGGCTGGCTATATATTTGGGACACGTCTCTTAAAATAAAACTAGCACTTAACCAGAAAGCATTGCCCAGACTGATATCAGTAACTGACGTAGGGGTACACTACTCATGCAGTCTCAAATTCTTTAAACATATCTCAACTGAAGCACCTAAAATGAGGAAACCGCTTGGCTTCATTCTTCCTAATTTCTTTCAAAATGAATCTGAAATCATTCTTTATAGAGTCTGTGTAACACTAATCGTTGAATACTGTTCGCTCTTATTTTCCAACCCACGTGTATTCGATCTACTTAAGGTGGAAGGAATACAACCAGATTTCACTAGCGAAATACTTAAAAACGACTGACTCATTGAATACAGTTCCTTATGCCATATCTTCGGACTAGAATTTTTTTGGAAAAGAAGGCTTAGGTTCAATTGGATTCTGTACTTCGGACTGCCAGAATAAAATGGATGTTCTTACCTCCTAATTTGTTTAGTCCATTTTACGTGATGGCGTGAGACTGTGCTCAACATGAACACTACTACTGAAGCCATGTCAATTGCCTTCATCGAACGATTAGTAACAGACTTAGCCTGTCTTTCAACCATCACTACAGACTGGGAACGTCATTTTGAATTTGAAATTGTCCGTTGTCTTACTTTGCTACTTGGATCCACGCGATTCTGTTCAACCTCGTGACGCACAAAAGCTGACAAATTGATAGGATGATTTGACCAAAAACTTATAGTTTCACCCTCAGCCTCATACATATCACAAAGGATTGACTCTCTTCCACTCGTGTTTCCCGCTATCCAGAATGAAGTGAAATATGGCGCCGTAAAACAACTCTTTTTCAGAACGACATTCCGACTTTCAAGAAACTTCGTGGGTCGTTTATCTTCATCCATTAATATGGACATAAACTCATGCATGATTAGACCTACAAACGCAATGTGTTCAGTTAAAACTGTTTCAACTACAGTCAATAGTTGTATTTGTTTGAACAGCCTTACGACTTAGTACACACATTTTCACACGTCGTAATTCATTTGACGACCACTTGAGATGGCACACGAAAAACCTTTTGAAAGTCCCTTATTGCAAATCTAAGCACCATACCATCAATGAAAATATGGTTGACGATGACGTCAGTATTGACCATATTAAAGCCGATTATTAAAGATATCCAATTAAGTTTAATAACCCATCTTAATAGAAAAAATTTAAAAGAATTCAGCCAAGAAAACTTTCCCGACGAAATCATTTACTCAGGCTGTACATTTGTATTCATTGTTATATGGCAAATAAATTTCTATAGGAGGATAGAAAGGATTGCATAACAAATTGATTCGAAACTTATCATCAAATGAGGTTACGCAACAATCAAGTGGTAAGGAAAGGATATAAAGATGAAAATAATATACGGGACAGATAATTATCCAACTGACGAATATGAAGAAAAACGACAAACGTAAAGGCTAATAATAAAAACTGGGTAATAATCAAGAAAACTTATTTAAGGTAATAATAATAGCTGGTTACAGTTTAAAATCACAAAACACTAATTTAAAAATCATATGAAAAAAGAAAAAAACCGAAACTTACCACTGAAGGGGATTCGAGCCAAGGAAGGACGAGAGGTTCATGTTCATGTTCAGGCTTCAGTTGCCGGAGTGTCGATGCCTCAGCAGTGCAAAAGATCTTGATTCGACTTCCGTTCGATCCTATTATTTCGTCTGCGTAAATTACTTTGAAAGAAGACTCCTATGGAGAAATGTGTCTATAGTTGATTAAGTGCTTCTGCGTTGAACTAGTAATTGTTCTGCATTCTCTCTTTAAAAGCTATGTCGGGTAGTGTTCTGAGTTGCGTTTGAGAAGTGATCGCTTAATGCGGCCGATTTAAATTTATAGGTGCAAATTGACATGACTTAAAGCAGAAGTTCATCCTTAACATAAACGCGAATGATAGGCCGACTTGAGAAAACGATTCGGAGCTTAACTGAGTAGAACGTTTTACATTACGGTTTCGAAGTCCGTATCTCCTTTGATTTCCATATTGATAAGGATTTCTTTCATATTATCAGTGCTTTTTCATAATGATGTCTAAGTGTCAAGTCATTATCGACGAATTTAAGTGGATAACCACTCCCAATGACTGTGACTGTTTTTTGGTCTTCTATCAGGATTGATACCCCTATGCAATTCTCTACGACTCTCTAGACTTCAGCCTCCCATAAAAATGATCTTTATAATTTGCATTGTTATCATTGGTGAAGTCGTAATTTTATACAACAATAATTGTCAATCTTTTCCTTTTAATGGCTTTTATTTTTCACGGAAAGCACAACAAGCAGCCAACCATGTCATAACTAAAGTACACATTAACTACTCACTCTCTTACATCAAGAGTCCAATAACTGGAATTAAACAACTAGTCTAATCGTATTTACTGATAAAAACGACGTGTAAACGCACTTTGTTTGCAGATAACGAAGTGCGAAGCAATTAATCAACACTAGATCATCACAAAGAAGACATGTATTTATTGTATAATTGAAGTGACCTGAACTTGGTTGCATTTTTGAAAAGTTTATATGTTTTCGTGAAAACTTGGTTAAACAGGAACCTCATTATATTTTGTCAATTAGTATGACCAATAAGTAGAATTTCACTGAAGAAAATGATTTTTGAATACACTGACGTAGTGAAAATACAAACAGAACTGGGTTATACTACAGTGAAGTGTTCGTCCACGACTACCGTACAAGTAAATTTTTCGTTCACTAAACCTAACCGGAATTTGGAAGGAAATAATTTCAGTGGCCATGAGATCCATTTCGTTGTCGGCTTCACCACAGCTCTATGGACTTCGACTATTGGGCCTTCGTGATAAAAATATAACTTGTAACCATGTTTTATGTAGGCATTTGACATACTCCGAGGTTAAGAAAATGTATGGAATTAGAGATCTTCAGCTCGCAATATACTTGTTTCCAACAAAGTTTGAAGAGGCAGCAAGAAACGATAGGGCAACTCTCTTTTATTTACATCAACAGGTAAATATCTTATGTGACCTTTATTAAAGTCGATCTTGAGACTAGAAATATATACTATTCTGGATTACAAAACGTTAAAGACGTTGAGTTAGCACTCGAAATAGGATGCCTTAATATAAGGTGATTTTACCTTCCTTTCTTTATTTGTAACTTTAGGAGTTTTGTTTCGTCGCCAAGATTATCCGTTAAAGAAATTATTGAGACAGTGGAAAAGGTGCGAGATATTTCTACTTTTTTTCCACCATCCGTCCTCCAAACTTTCAAGGTAGATAACGGGTTATTGTTAATGATTTTTTTTTTTATGTTTGTCACCATTTTCATTTTTGCAAACACTGAGCTTGATATTCAAGTTTTTGGTAAGAAAGTTAGTTTTGTTTCATTATAATGAGTTGATAGGAAACTAAATTTAAGGTATCAGTAATTTCATTGAACTCGAGTCTGTAAAGTACAGGTGGCTCTGTTCATATCCTTAAAGCCACTTGTCAAGTGAACTGATCAACGGTTGTGAATTTCTTACTGATGTATTCTCATTATATTTTGAGCTCCTTTATTTTTGTAAAAGTAGATTAACTTTATCGGGATAGCCCTTAAATAATTGAAACAGTCTATGACCGTCTTGTAAAGACTAAAACTGACTAGAGAGATCATTGAAACTGTTTTTATTACTTTCTGACTAATTATTCCATTTTTAAAACCTAGGGTAAAGCATTTAAAAAAGCCGTGCAAAATTACCTGGCGAAAATAATCCACTACTCTGAGGAAGACTGTGCACTGGACCTGTTGAATCGTTATCTTGTTTTGCTACAATTTGATCGTGATACATTTAAATGCCGACTTGGAGTAAGTTTGTTATTTGGCTATGGATATACGTTTTTATTATTTGTCACAAGCAAAAATTAAACACATTTGGTTATTTTGTTTTGAAACTAATATTTAAACCATCATATAATGGACAACAACTGAGGCCACCTACAAATGCTTGCTTTTGCTTTTAAAGTTTACCTTAAAATACTTTTCGTCCTTACTTTTGATTCTAGATCACGTACCTCTGATAGGCTATTTAGTTTTTCCCTGTATAAAGGTGTAAACAATAATCCATTATGCATTCAGTCCCTTCCAAGTAACTGAGTCTGAATAAGACCAGCTGTAATCAACTTCCAAATCGGACATTATTTATATTTACAGTCACTCTTGAGGCTCGTAGCTACACCGTTCTTCCAAAATTCCTAGTTAGATATTTTTACAATTGATTGACTATTAAGTGGTGATCAATGTCATTTATGTCAGGTCCTTCTTAGTGTAGATCGAATTCTACTGACCATGTTGCAATGTGATCATTGGTTTAGATGACTCGACATAGAGTCCAATAAGTTGATATAAGATGGTGGTTGAAGATAGTCAACAGGAAACCCTGGACCTAAGTTTCTTACAACGGGGTGCTCGTCAGCAAAGTATACCATTAATCTTGATGGAACTAATGCTTTCCGACGGATTCGATCCCGTGTCACCCAGTTTCACAGACAGAGACGTTACCACTAAGCTATCCGGGCTGTGACTGATCTCCTGTAGGACTGAGATGTATTTATAACTGACTGATCACTGATCCTATCGACCATGTTTCCTGTTGACTATCTCCAACCTCTATCTTAGTTAAACATAGAAATGCATATGTTGGTATTAAAATATCATCATGTCTATCTGAAAATTAAATGTAGTTTGAAAGGTAATCAAAACGTAATCGTTTGTCAAGATTTATGCTTTAATGTGTGAGTTATTTTTCATTTTGTTAAGTAATATCACATGCGACATGAATGAAACATCATTTTTATTTCTCACATGGTCATGTATTGTATGTAGAAACCTGGAATTAATTTTAAAAATATTGTTAGAAAGTAAATCTAAGTACCTTTAACAATTATACTTGATTCAGATGACTTCAAAGTGGCTAGTGGCTTCACTTCTTTTTACTTTATTTCAATTATAACCCTTATTTATACATTACATTTGCCTTATTGAATGACAATTTATTCATTGAAGTTTTGTGACGACTTTTTCGAACTAGAACGATTACTTGATTTCGGCACATGATTCTAGATTAGTTGGATCTGAGTGTTGAAAAATGTATGTTGGTGACAGCTCTAACAAATTTTGTTGCTCCGATTAAAATTCATTAGGATATCGTTGAAGAATGAATACGTTGAAAAACAAGAGCCGCTGTTTTTTTGAAGATTAATCACGATACTATTATGTTTTTGGCCATAAAAACGAGACATCAACTTAAGTATGAGTATTCGAAAACATATCTTGTTTGGTGCTAGAATAGTTGGTTAAGTTGATACTCTAATAAAAATCCTAACAGATCCTTCTGCCCTAAGAAAGACTGTCAACAAATCACCAAACCGAATCAGAGCTATGAACCAAACTCATAGACAATTATGTTTGTGGAGATTATATGACTTTTACAGTGGATTATACTGTAGCAGTTCAACTTAGCACATGCTAAGGTGATTTGTTCCAAATTTCATGCAGACTATTGTAATCTTTTCAGTTATTCTGTCACGCATATATTTTGTCTTTGTCAACTATTCATTCTCAAACTTGAGCATATGTGTATGATATTACATATATGTCTGTATACTTATAGGAACGTCAGTCCAAATTTGAACAAATAGTTTCATGGCAGTTGGGCGCCGATCTAATGTAAGACATTAAGGAGAAAAATTATACATGTAAAAATATCGGCGATTGAGTTTTAAGTGAATCCAACTCTTTGCTCTCCTATAAATATTGTTTGGATTTGCACATATGTGTAGGGCCTATTTATATTCGCTAACGTCAATGTTTCATTATATTTTCTTGAAAAAAGCGTAAACCAGATTGTCGGGAAAATGCTGGATTTACTGAAACCTCAATCACTGAAAGTTTTACAAGTGTCACTTTTCTTTCCCATGTCTATATACTTATTTATCTCTCTTGTATGGTCATAAAAGATGTCATATAATAATTCGCTGACTAGGTGTATTACCAAAGTTATATATATTCGCCGAATCTTCCATTGCTTATCTTTCTTCCTATATTAGCGTGACCAAAATACTCATATTCTACATACAGTTTGTGCTCAACGTTTACTACACAAGTTGTGCCAACGTGAATTTTTAAACAAAATATGTATGGAGTAAATAGAAATAAAGTACTACTCTTTTTATAGACAGTTTTATTTTCTAGCACTTATTTGATTTAACAGTCTAGAATTTTTGCAATGTCATACATAGTACTACTGCTCTGTTATCCTGATTAGTTGTAGGTGTTTTAATCGATTGATTCAAAAGCTTATATAAAAATCTGTCAGTTAATCATTTCTACTAACGGATTCATCAGTTCATATGGACATTGAAGCTTTTAAACAGTAACTAGTATTTAAACAAACAAATCAAAATCTAAAATTATTTTTGTGCTTTATTATATTTAATCATCTTAGAATAGTATAATTTAAAAACATCTACTTAATTGAAGCTAGACCTTCTCACCCTGTCTTGGGACTCCTCAGCGATGAGCATCTACGGTCTCTCCCCACAAGATTCCAACCCAGGACCCATCAGTCTCGCGCGTGAGCATCTAACGACTAGACCACTGAGGAGTCTCAAAAGAGGACGAAACGGCCGTCCAGTGCTCCCAGGTTTCCCATGGTGGTCTAGCTTTAATTGACTCATGATCTTAACTATTGAAAATAATATTTATATTCATTTGTTTATTCTAAGCCAATGTATATTGTTAAACGCGTTTACAGTGATTGTTAAACGCATAGTTGAAATTTTCAAATAACTGATATTTCACAATGTGATTTTATTTAATGGCCAAACGATTTCACCAAACGAAAAATTATCCAAGCATTGTGGTTAACTAAAATTTTGTTTTAAGACAAATGTAGTGTAGAAATGAAAACATGGAATTTTCTTTGAAGTAAAAGATGAAGACAAGCTTAAGAATGTTAGTTAGTTATTTAGTGAACTAGAGTTTTGTGGTGTTCAGTTAATCGAAACTTTTCAGCAGTGCAAAGCTACAATCTTGATGTTCCTTGTGAGGTCTAAGTTCGGCCACTGGATATATGTAATAAAAACTGATCACTGAATGAGGACTAAACAAATGGTTTGGAAAGTTGACCTGACATTATTACTATTATTAATGGCTTTATTCAATATTATATTTTCTGTACCATATAGAATTCTCAGCACAAAATATTTTATTAAGTTTCCGTTTCTTAATTGTTGGTTGGTCTTGGCGATCAATATTCAGTGATCGTGAGTTAAAAATTAGCAGTTCAGGAATGGACATCTAAATAATGTACATTCATTTCGCTGCATATTGCCAGCAACCACGATGTCTCTGGTTGTACATTATTGTAACTTGTACAGAGAAAAGTCGTAAAGTCTAAATAAACCCAACTGAATAGGTGATGATGTGTTAAAACAAACAAAAACAGATAACTTATTGAATTATGTAGATGACAGGAACAAGTAGATCAGATGTTCAAGCGGGCCGCCACATCTTTACTTAATCGAATTTTACATAAAAATATTAACACCAAAATAAACACAAATATTTTATTGAAATAAAATGTATATAAAATAAACCAACAACAATAATCCATATCGTATACCGCTGGTAATTTCCTATTAGTGACTGAGAAAATGTGTCATACAGTGATATAATAAAAGGGATTACTTCAATCATCTTTTAATATGGTTTAGAAATAAAAGAGGCGATTCGGGACAAATACATACAGGCCTGGAAATATCACGAACGCCATTAGCATCCATGTTCCCACTAAAGTTAATCAACCAATGCTCGACCAGACAAATAACACACACTATCATTCACTCAATTACAATTTACTCATACTGTTTTGTAAAGTCCTTATTTTATCAGTAAACATACAGTTAATGACAGGGTAAATCTATCCATACAATAAAATCTACATATCAAGTAATTTCATCATTTCTCTCATATGGAAATAATAGTGATAATGTACAGTTTCATATGAAATGAATAGCTGTTTATTAACAGATGGATTTAGTAACTCAGCAAACCAATGTGAAATAAATTAGCAACCAAGGCAATAGTCATTGTGCTCAAGCATTTTTGAAGATGTCATCGTGTTACACTGTCAACGCATTAAGTTTTTTTCAAGTATGATAGTACAAATAAAACTGGATTAATATCTATAATCACCAACAAGCATATACTTTTGATAGATATTTCAAATTTTAACGCAGTGTATTTCCTATTCCAAGTACATTTTGGGAATATGTAATGTAAACTAGTGTTATTTGTGAGTACGTTGCTGTATTTGTCTAGTGCTATCCATCTTGCAATCGTGAACATTTAGGTTAAGCAAAATTCCTGTTCTAAACTGAATTTATTTAGTATAAGTCTACATATGACTACACAGCATGTCAGAAAAATTCTTTATCTCATTCACATATATGTGCATAGACAAATGTTAATTCAGTTTTTCAGAAATATACCGCAAATGGTGATTGATTATTACTCGCTATAAAACCGAAAATCTGCATTGATTGATTATTCAGTTGTAACGTATGTCATGATTGTAGGTTAACCTAAATAAAACATACCGACAACCTCAAACTCTAGATCAGGAAGGCTTTCATGTTGACTAACTTCAATCATCTAACGTCGAAATCCAATTTTCATATTTTATTTCACCTGTTTTCATCATGCTTTACTAGTGTTACAAATCTAACCACCATTTCAAAACATACTGTTTTAAATTTCATAAAATTACCCACTGTTTCAGTGAAGCGAAAAATCTACCATTCAGTTTTGGAGTGTGTCCTAATCATAATTCAGTTGGAAATGGTTTGGATTATTTTGTTTGAAATTTGATTGGTCTTAACTAACATCGATATAGCCATTATGACAAAATTTAGTACAGAATAAATGGAATATGACTAGCAATGAAATGCAGCTTGCACGTTTCGTCCTATTCAGAACCCGTCATCTGGGTGTACTTGCATTACAGAGCTGATGTCTACTTCGGAGCTTGAGCTAGGTGCCGTTGACTCCAAACCCCACCGAGGTGGATTCCAATACTAACCACATTTCACCTATCCTACATTTCCTACCTGGCTATATATTAACTACAGCCTTCTAGCATTCAACTTGATTTGGTGTTATCATGACTGCACATAACTTACTAATAGTGTTTACCTTTAGACTGTCTGAGTGAAAGTATTTAACTTTCATTATTGCTGGACAGGGGTTTTAATTTCCAGAAAGTTTATTATCATAAATTTTTAATAAACTTAAACTGTAGCTAGAAGTGGAATCCAAGACATTAATCTGGCTTTATTTTGGATTGATCAGCTGATCGATATTCGTACAATAACTCAGAACTTGCACCTTTCATTTTACACGCTAACACGTTAATTACTGTGCCCAGACGATTATTACTCTGTCTAAATAAAAACTTATGATTAAAATATAATGATGAGGCAATCCACTCAGAATGTACACATACAAGCACGGACTGATCATTTACATTCCTTAACACTAATAAAGGGGAAATGAGAACTTTTAAAAATTAAGTTTGCTGAAAAATTATGAGGTTCGTGATATGCAAATGATTTGCTCTGAATTCGACGATATGTATATTATGAATTTCACCAAAGTTAACATTAACCGAGATTATCTTTTTGTAGTTGTTGTGGTTACCAAAATATTACTTTTAGATTAGAATCTACCAGACTATGATATTTTTTATTTCAGTATTTTTATCATTTGTTATATATACAAGGTTAATGTTTACATTTCTAGGCTGGATGGGGTATACCGGTGGATCTAATTATTGGACCACGTTTTCAAATATCTATAGTCGTTGAAAATGGACGTCAGGTTAGTGATATTACAAACGTTATTGTAATCCAAAGTAATTGAAAAAAGTTTAATTTAATCAGGTACATTAAGTGCAGACAAGTTTTCATTGATTAAAAAGGAGTATACAAATTATGTAAGTCCTTCATGAAAGGCAGTTTCCTCTGTTTACTTAACTTTGATAAAAATGTACTTTGGTCGATCAGTAACTAATGATCAATGTTATGTTTTTCTAGTCCTTAGTGCTGATAAAATCTTTATTGATCAAATTACAATATGGTATCAAACTGGGAAAGTAGGTTAAGCAAGTTCAAATTTTATGCAGAACATCAGTTGCTTCGAGACTTTAGGTACACTTTGGTGAAGCATCTCAATTCACCTGAAGCCTAAGACAAATAAGGTTTTCCGCCAACAACACCTATTTATATAATATACTGTCTGTCCATGTGAATTAAATAATCACCGCTACTGAGGAAGAATTAAAATTATACTATTAACTTCAAGTTAAATTAACTCGTAAATCGACAGAAAATAAAGTGCAGGATTCTTACTTAATTCATTACACATTCAGCTTTCAATAGTTGTAAAGCTTTCATTCAAGAGTTGGCGGGAGATTAAAGCTAACAAATTTAAAAATTTAATTATCTGTCGACTATATTCATTAGAATATAGATACAGGAATAGTTCCTCTGTCGATAGTTTGGTTATTATTTTAGACTTGAAGGAAGTAGAAATAATTCTTAGATAGTTTATAAGACGGATGAATAGAGCAAATTATAATTTCAATAATATAGTTGTCAGCTCATTTACCTGTATTAACCTTACATGATTACATATATTCAACACATATACTGACCTTTGTATTCATTTGAATGTCTATTTACATATATAAGCCAAGACATTTGGCTTATTTTGCCAGTATTCGGCAAGTGATTGTCACTAAAGTACAAATTCAAGGGAAAGAATGTTATCAAGTGAAAATTGGCATGGAACAATCAATAACAGTAGCATCAAGCAACAATAATAATGCTCAATTTGATTTTATTAGTTTTACGTTTACGACCCCTGAAGAAGCTGATACTGTGGTACATTTATTAGAAGGATATTGTGGTGAATCAATGGATGATATTTTATCCAATGGTACACTGAATTCATTAAATAATCATGAATCAAAATGGCAAGTTAATTCAGGAATTACATGTAGTGAATTTTTACCGAATGGTTGTCCATTTAGGTGAGTTAGTTAAAAAAACAATTTGATTTGACTAAAACCAATAACTTTTGAATTTGACACAAATATCTTGTTATTGTATGCTTGCAAAATGAGTAACTTTTTGGTGAATTTAAACACACCAATTTTTAAAAATGATTTCATGAACCTATTCAGTACTGTATAACAGATCTTTAGTTTGTTAAACTAATACACTAGATTTTCTTTAGTACATTTCTCAAAGTGTTTGATGGTAATCATCATAAAGACATGAACAGACGTTTAATGCTGAGTGACACTTGAAGATAACTGAAGCTAGAGTAACTTATTCCTAACGAATCTAAAGCTCTGTTAATAATTTAATTTAATAGCTCCTACTACTACAAATGTGACCAATTACAAGACTAAGTATATCTGAATACAAAGTTTGTCACTCCACAATAACATAATAAGGTTTTCTTCTATTTACGATCATAAATAAGTCAATAATCACCTTATTTTCACAAAAAAACCTATCAAGCGTTCTAATAGTTGTTTCATTGAGAAAAATGCGAACATTCACAAATTGTTAGCTACTTTATACTGGTTAGACACCGAGTTAATATAAGACATTAAACATTTCAATGATTGAAATATAAAGTTAAAAAAATTTCTTTGAAAATGTTTGAACCAGATTTTTGAGCAAAATATTAAACTTACTTATAATTCAATCGCTATGATTTTTCACAAATATCATGTTCCACTCAGATTCATATTTTTATTGTCACCATTAAAATAATTTGATAAATTATCTGAGTTTACTGAAAATTCGATAAGTGTCAATAAATTAGAGTTCCCTTTTTTTTTTAAAAAATGGAAGATTATTTCTTTCATGATTTACATCATTTTGCTGTTGCCATGTCAGTTTGACGGCTTTTAACTTTGAAACATCTTGTTTTAAACAAAGTAATTAAATAAATATTATAATATATTCCATAGTTATATATTAGTTTACTAGAAAAATTATCGAATGATTAGGATAAACAGATATATAAATATAAGCAAAGATGGATAGTGGCTAGCAGTGGAATCCAGGACGCGCGTTTCGTCCTGTTTGGGACTCGTCAGCTGGATGTACCTGCATCTCAGAGTTGATGTTCACTCTGGGACTCGAACTCAGTACCGTTCGCTTCAAACGCCATCGCGTTATCCATTTAGCTACTGAGTCCTGATAGCCACTTGCTTGTGCAATGGGGTGAAGTTTAATTCACTTGATATTGTTTTTACTTGAATATTCCCATTGATGTTTTTTTAGGACTGAAATTGATCAGACAGGACGAAACACCCGTCCTCCATTCCACTGCTAGCCACTATCCATCTTTGCTTATAATGCTTGTAAATTAAGGCAATATCGAGGCATACGCACAGTATGCACATATGCCAATAAGAGACTGATCAATTTCAGTCCTAAAAAAACATCAATGGGAAGATTCAAGTAAAAACAATATCAAGTGAATTAGATATATAAATAGTTTTGTTAGTTCTTCTTTATTATCATTACTTCACATATGCTACACAGACGAATTAAACAGGTTTAAGATAACGCTAAATTCACTTATCCATATGCCTATAAACCATTTTTTTTGGATTATGACTTGTGCCGGTTCATAATAAAAACCGAATCTCTAATCCTTTAACCCTAACCAAGAACATTCTGGGGTTTACAAAAATTAATATGAGTACGTCAAGATGGATCATTTATATCCATAAAAATGAGTTTATATGTTTTCAGATAGATCCACTAATTATACGAAATCTGTTTTCGGTTTGTATTATTGCTGTTTTATTTTTCATAAAATATTCATTCACAGAGGCTATTTTCTGAATGACAAAGTATTGGCTGATGATACGTCACGGTTATTTTAAGCTCATCCAGATACTGTAATTGGGATAGGATATCTGTCCATGGATTCGAAGCTGATGAATGTGCAATATTCAGCATTCTTCAGCTCATTAAGTAAATGAATAATGCATATAAGAGCATAATTTTTTCTGGAGATTCGATTTTAAGCTCTAACTTCCACTTTATTTACTTTTTATATCTGAAAGTTGACATGAGTTAAAGTAGTGTGTTAATAAAAGACATATAGATAGCTCTGGATGTTTAAAATAAAGTCCCCTGAGAAAAACTACACTTTCATACGTAGCGCCGATCTAATAAATGATCAGTAAAGGTGCCCAAAAATATAAGATATTGAATTTTTTTTATTGACAATTGGAAAAAGATGGCTATTCTCATCCCTACACTTTTAGCAATATAATCATCTTTTAAAATTCAGTAGTGTTTAGATATAAATATTTCGATGAATGATGAAGTGTCATCAGATAGTTCTTAATGTATTATTTAAACGTATTGCATCTTTATTACCAAAACTGTTATCTCATCAAGACTTTGAAAGTTGAATATTTTCCTCCAAAATATCAACAATAATTAATCAAAATCAAGAAATAACATAAACGATACCAATTTATAGTTGAAATCACATAAATGAGATAGTTCAATACTTGTTTTCTGCATTCTGAACACATAGGGGAGAAGTTAGAAATCGACAGTGTAATTCCACTGTATTTTATGACAAAAATAACGGAATCAATGACATATGTAAAAATACCTGACTGTAAAAAGTTCACATTAGAATACTACACAAAAATTCCGTGTCATTGTTGAAGGAAACTATATTGATAGCAGATTAATAATTGCAACGGAAGGTGACCATTGTACTCGCGATAACGTCATTGTGTTCCACACAGTAAATACGTCTACCCGCTTCCTATCTTTACTACTATTGTGAAGAACGAGAACCACACACTGAATAATTCATTTGAAAATTTCTATCATTCGTATTCTGCACTATGTATGATTCTTTCTATTTGTTATTTCTGTCTATTTCTCTTTATATTCTCTTCAACTTGATCTTTCTAGCCCTCTTGGGCCAGGCATTCCACTTCCGATTGGTGTTACATACGACTTGTATTTGTCAACACCACACTACTAATACTACTAGTACTACTACTGCTACTAGTCACACTACTACAATTAAATTTCGACTCCTTTGTTATTCATCTTGTCAGTCGCAACTCATCGTGTTATTGGGGACTAATAGCTTGGGCCAGATTATATTTATTCCATGATGGGTTCTAATTATGACTGACTGGAAATATAAATACCTGATTTCTGCTTAAGTCATAGATGACAAATGTGGATAGTAAGGATTGAATGATTCCAACAAGATGAAGTCTCATACTGACTAACTTAAGTTTATATTGAGAATTACACATGATATATATTTGCTATTGAAAAATGGATATTGATCAACAAATACATTAATCTACTGACAAATAACACATGTTTTTTATATTATAAAATGTCAAAATGTCATTAAAATAGTATGCATAACCCAATGAACTATCTACTGAATGTTGATAATAACTGTTTTACTTTTAAAACAAAATGGTGGTTTGTTAATTACCCTTCAATTAGATTTATATACATAATCAAAAGAAAATATTTATTCTTCAGTATTCTCACCTAAACATAAAACGGTTTGATGATAAAGTCATCACAGTGATAAAATGGTATTATTGAAAACAATTTAAACGTTCATTAAGATTTTCGATGGAAAATTAATGCTTTTGAAAAATTCATACTGATTACAAATCTCTTCAATATCAAGTTTCTTTGTGAAACTTAGATCAACTATAGTAGTTATCATTATGGATTATCAATAATATATTATTTATAAGCTGAATAATATTTAAGTTTTTTCACTGAAAGTAAGTGTCGATATGAAATAATATCATCGAGAAAATTTTATTAACTAGTCCTACAACCGGAATGGGGCTTTTTGCAGATTGTAGTAATTTTCAAGATGAATTTTATGGGAGATCTGATGAGAAGCCGTGGACAGTGGAATCCAATCTGTGTCAAGTGAAGACAAGTATTTATCTCAGACAATGGATAAAGAGTTGTTAAAAGTCATGAATCAACTGAAGTAAGATAATAACACAATTGGATGGCGGCTTAGTGGTCTAAAGGTTAAGCGTTCGTGCGCAAGATCAAAGGTCGTGAGTTCGATTCCCGCGTACGGGATCGTGGATAAGCACTGCTGAGTAGTCCCATACTTGGATGAAACAGCCATCCAGTACTCCCAGGTTTTCATTAGTGGTCTAGATTAGATCGACTCATGAATTTAATCATTAAAATATTCATCTGCTTTAACCAAGCCATGATAAATTTTTATTTAGTCATAACAATTATTTTTCTTACAAATGGCATGATTAAAAAACTTAATTAGAGTAACCATTGATTTCAATGCGTATTTCTTTGAAAAAAAAACAATTTACAAATCTATACATAAAATTGAAAGAATTAGGTTTGCCTGTACGCGCATTCTCACAAGAAAGAGTGACACCATTTTTATGTTTTGCCTGATAAAACATAATAATCTTCTTTACATTACTGTTTCTAGTTCAGTTTTGAAAAAAAAACACAACAGCAACAACATATTGATCAATATAAGTGAGGTTTAGTCGTGATAAATAATAAACAAAACATAAACACTGACAAAACCATATAACCACTGCAATTCCATTTGTATTCATTTAGTTCTCATTTGGTTCATTTTGTGTATGTGTATGTGTGTATGTGTCAACTGTTATTTTTTTTTCTTTGATTTTTTTTAGACTATGTAAAACCACTAAATCACAATTACAAAGTAAGCAGTCTAGTTTTTTTTAAACTAAATTAATAAATTTATTATTGCCTATCATTGTGATTCAATAATAATAATAATAATAATAATAATAATAATAATAATAATAATAATAATAATAATAATAATAATAATGGTAACAATAATAAAGACACCTTTATTTATCACCTGATTGAGACGGGTCATAAGGTTGATATCAAATCAGCATTTGTTGTCTTGTACAAAAGCCTTCAAAGACGTATACTAAGATTTATAGAAGCCATGGCTATACGGAAATTGAAACCCCCTTTATGTGTTCAAAAACAATTTGTACTTACACTTAACCTACCCTGGTAGTACTGATTTACTATCCAGAGTGGTAATCACATTTGTTTTTGTGTACTTTGATATTTTTCCTTTGTTATGACTTACCCTTAACCTGTCTAGTTGACGTTTTAATTTTTCATATATAATTGTTCTTAACAAGAATATATTTGATCAGATTGTTCGAAATGTATTGCACAAATATATCACATAATTCTGATAAACTACGTCTTCTCATTGCATTATCGAAAAAATAATTATAATTCAACTTTATACCTAACGGTAAAATGTTCATTTATAACCGGTAGTTATGATCAAAGAAAAAATAAAGAGCAAACCATCATTGAGAATTTAAGTCGTATAATAATAGTCTATGAGTCAAAATAAAACTTGAAATAAAGGGAGTATAGATATAGATAATTTAGCTACTGAATAATTATACATTAGGAATCTAAGTATAATATTTGTACATAAATACAAAAGTTAGCATTGATAGTTGTCGTCAGGATATAACAAAATGTATCTCATTAAATTATTATATTTATTTCAAATAAAATGAACTACAGTTATCACTCGGTTGATTTATTATTATTTCTAATGTCTAACGTCATCGGGATATAACACAGTAATTTTTTAATATCAAATAGGGAGTCCTACAGTAGGACGAAACGGCCTTCTAGTACTTCCAGGTTTTCCATGATGGTCTAGATTCAACTGACTCATGATCTTAACCATTGAAATTACATTCATTTTTTGTTTGTTTGCTTTTTATTAGTAAATGTTGATGGTAATTCATGCTTTACAATATCTAATTTCGTTTGTTTTTTTTGTTTATTCAAAAATATTTTTTATTTTTGCACTATTAATGTCCCTGCTGACATCATCTTGCTAGTCCTCTTCAGACGCACTGATATAAAATTAAGAAAACATACACTCGTACATATTTTTGTACTAATTGATACATTAATTAGATTTACCTTCATCACATTTTCTTTCAATTAAGTAACGCTTTATGTAATATTGTATAGCTTTGTATTATTGTCCTTAAACTTGCTTTTTGTTAGTATTATTTATCATAGGGAAAAAAAGCTTGATTCAATGAAAGGTAACAAGAATTCTTACACTAAAAACCAAATAATAATGTTAAAGTGACATAAACTAGGTGGAATAATAAGGTGATGAGTTGAAATATTTAGAGTTAACATTTTATATAAGATCACAACTATGAAATACATTTCAATGGTATATCTTATTGTTATATGTGTATTGATTGTTTGAATCCTCCAGCTGATGTTTAAGGCTGGAATTGATCAGTCTTTGTTAACATACATGGATACTATGAATATCGTCTCGATTACGTTACAAGCATTTTTAAACAGAGGTAGATAAATTGCAGTCCTAAACATCAATTGGAAGATTAAAACAACCATAACTTATGAATTAACATTTATCTTACCACACAAGTCAGTGGCTATTTAGACTCATTAGCTAAGCGGATTATGTAAACAGTACAGGCTCCATAAAAAACATGACTTACTGTCTGAGTTTATTTTGAATTGTAAATAGTATATTTGCTTTTACGCATAACTAGTCCGAAAGGAAATTTTATTTATTTATTTTATTTTAACACATAGATATTGGTACAAAGAGGCACCAAATACATATGAGCCACACAAATTTCATTCGATATGTGTGAGGGCTGTGAAGCTGCCCGGGTGCCCAAAACGAAGCAGGTGGTTTAATAGGGGGCCACTCCCCGAGCCTTTGACCTAAAGGTCTAACCCACAAGGCAGTGGAGCGTCGTGAGGAGATGTAGTCCCATGGTAGCCGGTGACCAAGGAATTGGTTCATAAGCCATTTGTTCCCGCAGGATACTGCAGCCCATGTGCACTATTGGTTTGGAATCCGCTTGAAGCACCGGACATTCGCTTTCCGTCCTCTTATTTTCGTAAACAACACCCCCGCCACGAGAACGTAGTGAGTAGGACTTCCCTGGCAGAGGCTATATACTAATTATAATTCTTATCGGTTTACTTTCTAGTCTTCAGGAACAATAATCAATAAACTATATTTACTTTGGGACTTGAACTCAATGTTCTTTGCTTCATATTTCAATAAATTATTTTAATTACCACTAGCTTGTTCAATTGATATAGTAAATATTATGCACTTTCATACAAAATTCAATTATTTTCACATTGAATGAGTCAAATTACATTGGTTTATTTGAAAGACAATAATACTATTGTTATAGACTTATTATCATACATATAAAATATAACAGTTCTTTAGAAAAAAGGAGGTTTAATGAAATGTATCACAATAAAAGCGTTGTATTTAACTTGATTAAAAAATTATGTTGAACATTTTTAGTGGTCAGTATGTATGTTGGTTTTATGAGTTTTAACAATTTTTCTATTTATTTGGTAGGTTAGCTCTATATGTTTGTGTACTTTACACTAGAAATTTCATTTCAAATCTTAACTTATTTAATATTTGTCTCTCTCACTCGAGATATTGGACTGTACCACACTGGTTTGTTAATAATAGATAATTGTAAATAACTTCAAATACTTGAAATCAAACATTTAGTTAATAATACTAGATGATCGGTAAAATAACCGAATGTACTGGATAGAAATTACTTATTAAATGTCAACCATAGACATGAAATCAAAAATTTCAGTTTGCATGTTATACATATGAGATGCTTAATCAATACACAAAGATAAAAGTGACTTTAGAATGACTTAGTTTATATCTCTATTTATTGATCAACTTCAATCTTATTGAAGGTGTGCTAGCGTACGTGTATTTATTGATTTCCGTAATTTTTCATATGCTACAAATAGTACAGTATTATACTCAAGTCACATGATAACCGTTTTTGTTTGGATGTTCACAACTGGATTTTGTTGTTATGCTTTGAGAAACAAATTGAACAGAGAAAGCTTGTCAGATATTGATTGATTGATTATGAATTGTAGTACCCATTTGAATAAACAATATATATATTCATTTTGACTGGTTTAAACATGATGAGAAAATGTGAATTAACCTGCGAGTTGGTCAACGAAAAATAAAATTGTGTCGTTATCTCAGTAAAGTTGAATAGTGATTAGCAGTGGAGTTCAAGATTTTTATCCCATTCGAGGTTCATCTTCTTGATGTCCCTACCTTTCAGTTTTATTGATCATGTTGGGACTTGAACCAAGTTCAATTAGCTTCAAATGTTTACCCGCTATCTATTGAGCATTTGAGTCAAAATAGCTATTAGCCTGTACGACGGACATGATAATTTGGGGTTTTTTGACCTAAGCAATGAGAATATACGAACCCTTACAAATAGTGTTAGTATTTTAACTTAAATGTTTTTAAATATTTGTTGACATTGTGAATGATTTACTTCATGGATACTGACCTCAGTTGAGACATCAGTGAAAACGAATTGATGTTCATAATCAACTTTCTTACATAAAATGTTTTAATGAAGTTTCCTCATCAAACATTTGTGAAGTTCTTAATATTCATCAACATTTATTTTTTATCTGTGCATTTAACACACACTGCATTGTCTGTTTATCTGAACAACTCCTACGGAACATCGATCAAACCTTGAGTAAGTAAGAATCGAGGACGTTCGATGATTTCTAGCCGCCGACGGTGAATATAACCTCTTGAAGGTTTCATGTATTCTTCAACGATGATTACAAACATGTGTGGTTATTTTCTTTGTTATCCAAAACAAATAAATAGCTATGGAAACATATCGATTCATCAAAGTAATTTAGTAACAATATAGGTCTGTAGAAGAGAAATGTCTTTTATATCCCTTGCTCCTACAAACGTTTTTATAACGAATCCAGTTATTGTGCCTATGGATTTGGGTGAGGCTCATCCATAATAAAAACGACTGCTTTATTTAAACATACATGAAGTAATAGTAGTGTGTTTGTAAATTCAAGGTCATTTTTTAAGGTAGAACGTTTTGGTTATATTGAGTCTTCTTGACTGGATGATTTAATTAAGAATCTATGTTCATCTTTTTTATCGAAATCATGAACACTTACTTTAATTAGAAGAGAGTACTTTGATAATTCTACAAGTATAAAGCCGAGACTAGATTTATTCTGTAGAATATGGTAATTATAATACAAACGTGAAGTCAAGACAATCTGATAAACAATAACAAAAAGTGTATCACTTGTGATATCATACAGTGCAAAAGTCTCCCAAAGTATATTTTACATTAAAGTCAAATTTATTTTTTGATTGAGATTATGAACCGATTGATTTTAAACCACCGTTGGAAACCTGGAAGCACTGGAAGGCCATTTCATCCTATTGTGTGAATTCACAGCAATGCGCATCCACGATCCTACCCGCCGAATTCGAACCCAGGGCCTTCGGTCTCGCGTGCGAACGCTTAACCAACTGGAACACTGAGCAATCACGCGCGAGACTGAAGGGCCTGGGTTCGAATTCGGCGGGTAGGATCGTGGATGCGCACTGCTGTGAATTCACACAATAGGATGAAATGGCCTTCCAGTGCTTCCAGGTTTCCAACGGTGGTCTAAAATCAATCGGTTCATGATCCCAAACAAAAACTTAATAATCTCCACAACCCCTATACTAGTAAATTTATTTTAACACCATTCTTCTATTGGCTACACATTTAGTGTTGAAAAGTTGTTCACTTCTTTCATACTGAAGAAGTATTAAGGAATTATGGTGTATTTGAAACTACAATAAAATATCAAGTATTGGCATAAGTGTTGTGGAGATTACGGAGCTTTGTTAATATTATGTCCACATTACCAATCTCCATAATCCCATACTATTAATTATCATCCGCTTACTAGTGACATGCTTCGAGAGGAGATTTTCAGAGCTTTAGTAAGAAATCGTGACCAGGAGAATTTATTCCTGTTGGATGTAAGAACATTACCCACTGTAAAGAATGGAAAGTGGTAGGGCAATGTAGTTCTTACACCATTGAATACTGGCTTAGTGGTTTACAGGTTAATCGTACACGCGCAAGACCAAGGATCGATTCCTGCCTGTAGGGTCATGACCGAATACTGTAAAGGAGTTCTATTTCTTTCAGGTTGTCATGAAAATTAAGAACTTTCTAAATATCAAGATACATTACATTTTAAATCCATAACAAATTGGCTTTGTATTGTTGTGTAATTCACAATATTGTGTGCATTTACATATGCGTATGTATTTACTATACTTTCTCCTTAATAATAATCTTCATAATGTATAAATTGTTACTTTAAGTCTCTCAATAAAATTGTCAAATAGACAAATATTTTATGAATATTTTGATAATGTATACACTACATTACAGTATTGTGAATTCTTTTCGTTTTCCTAAAGGCATTATATTTAATTACACACATAATCTCACTAATAACCTGTACTTACATACTGAAGGAAATCATTTGCATACCAATGAGTACAATGATTCATATTGCTAAATGCTTTAATTTGTGTACAGACTATTGAATTAACGGTAACATAATTATTCATTTGTCTGTTTTTTGGATTAAAGTCTTTTTTGTTGTTGTTTTGTTTGCCGTCTTCAAAACTGGTTAACTTGATTACTTTTTTTTAATAGAACGATTCATAGAATGGATTTGATTGAAAAATAAATAGTTAATTAGCCTTTTGTAATTTGTATCACGAATTAATTGTAGTTAAACAACTATTGTTAGTTAGAGAATACTAGATAGCTATTTCAAACTAGTTTGTGACTACCATATTAAAATGACACAACTGTTCAGGTCTCTTTACTTTCCAGTGTTTATCTAAAACTAATCCCTGATGTAAACTATGAAATTTGACTATTTTTATAAACCCTTGTAGAGTACCAGTTAGTAGGTAGTTAGTCATTTATATTAACTTGTAAGTAAATTGTAATTAACAAAGCATAAGTAGTTAGGATACTGATAGTGTGGTGTGTGCTACTGATGTCGACAGATGTAAGTAGTATTCATCATCAATCGAAAATGAAATGTCTGGAGGCAGATGGTTAAGAAGATCGAAGAAAAGAAAACAAGAACATAGAATGATTGGTGTGGAAACGAAAGGACATTGAAGTCTGAGACGATTGATGGACATTTTGCAAATGAAGTATTTACTGCATGGTTATCAAATGTTCTGTGATTTTGTGTTCATATACATTCGATTGTCCCCACTTGTGTTCGCGTTCATTACAATAGGATATTTGTCTAATTCCTGAAGAACTATCGGTTTTTGTTTGATAATGTCTGCGATCTTCTAATCCTGTTTTATGACTTGAATAACAACTAATACTACTTAAAATTTCAAATCAAAATACAATTGGAGGTTGTTTTCTATTTTGATTAGGATACTTTGAATGTAAATGCACTTAATTTTTTATTGAACATTTGTAGATTTGCAGTACTACAATGCAACTTATTAGTGATTTGTAAACATGACTACACAAACTACTCAACATAGAACATGGAAACCTTACTACAGTCACGATACACATAGAACACTCGATTAATAAATGAATAGAATGATATCTTATCGTTTCAATGATTGTAGTTTCTTTCATCAACTCTATAGTGTTTTATCGAAGTTGGCTTCCAGTATGTATAAAGTTGTTAAGGACATAACATAACAGACTGTTACTTAATTTTAGTGGATAATTATAGAATAATACTTTGATCAAGTTAAATGTTCAAAAGTTAACAAAGCGTTCATTAAGTAGCCATTTATTACATATATACTGTGGTCAGTGATACAGTGGTTGTTACAAAATCATAATATATGACAAATTGTCATATATTTTAAACACAGATAAATATGAACATACACATTATACATATAAGGAAGTTCAGTGAGATGAATGTATAAAATCTTTCATATTCCAATGGTGTAACCAAATCATACAGTTTTAGAAGATACACATTAGACATATTTTAGATTATATTTACATAAACTGAATTCAAAATATAATTATAGAGTTATACATGCTTGTTCCCAATAATGTATCTGATATTTTTGACCGACATTATTGTGTTGCATGTGAAGATGATATGAAAACTAAAAACAACATACATCCGTTTCAGACAATTGATTCCTATATTCTTTACTTTCAGTACATCAAGGGATTTACAATTGTTTACCAGGATGAAGTATTACTCAGTATATAAAACCATAGTTTGATTAGTCTTATTTTCTGGTTGTGAAACATAAACTTTTAAGTTAAATGAACTATCTAATTTACTAGTATTTGAAGAACTGTTGGTGTATAAGGAGTAGAGCCAGCTTTCAATACTGAAGTTAGGCACAGAGTAACAAGCAATAATAGCAAGTGGTTGTATGAGGTTATAAACTTTTGTCAACTGAGGTGGTTCCGACATGTATTAGGTACACTTAACGATGAATATATTAGCAAGTCTACTATTGAGGCCACAGTGAGACTAATAAATAAACGAGTGAAATACTTCGAAGTGAGTTGAATTTATCCATTGATGAATTCATACAAATCGGGGAAACTACAATCAGTGCTGCATTACTTAAGTAAATAAATGGATATTATATATTACAAAAATAAAGAAAATTCTTTTTAGCAATTGGACAAGTGAAAAAAGTATATTTTTATGTAGTGGTTTTATTAAATTTGAGTTCTTCGTCGCAATCAAAACAGAACACACAAGTAAACAAAAATCAAGCTGCTTCGAACTCCTTATCTTTTTGTTCTGTAATTCTGCCATGTTTGACTTTATTTGTTCATTAATAATCAAGATTTAATCCTAATAATAGACACATGACTTTCATGGAATTTTGTCATCTGTGCTGAACTAAAATTTTCACTCAAAACAACCTGAATAAATGAAAGAACGTAATAGGAAATAAAACAAACATTGGTACCTCTAACTTTACAGAACAAAGACAACATCCGGATGACCATATGAGAACAAGAAACACTAAAGGGACTCAAAATAAGGGTGATATTTTCGTCGTCTTGGAGGACAAAGGATGCACTACAATAACTATGTATAAAAAGAACTATGTTAGGAAAGCCATGGTGCTACTTGAGTACGGTAATATACAAAACAATGAACAGAAATTCGTTTGAAAGGAAGGACGCATAGATCTATAGTGCATTAAACAAGCTGACAGAACAAGCAACCAGGCATATGTAGAGAAATTCGGATACCTCACTCTTACCTGCACCTTATTATTATGATTTTATTCAGAAGAATAACGAAAACTTTATGAATAAACCTCTCAGCTCAGAGAATGAAATTCTACCAAAATCATTCATCTAAACTACAAATCTCCACCATCTCAAAATTAATAAATGTCATTTATCATGCTATTTTGCCAAAGTGACCAGTTTAGATATTCAAAATATTTGTAATTTAGATCGTATAATTAACAATTTTAAATAATTAACTGTTTTTGTTGCGGTCTTTCTCTACTATTATACTCTGATTAGAAAAAAATGTGAAGTATGCAACCTTTTTTTGTAGCTGTGGTGATTGTTATTTTGTCTGATGTTAATATTCACAGTACGTACTAGTTAATGAGTTTTGCGTACGCTTATCTATGTGAATGTGGTAGAACACTAAAGTGAAGAATCTGTTGGTTAGTTAATCGATTTTTATTGATTTACAGAATATAAATTTCTTTACTTATGAAGTTAGTGTAGGGGTTATTAGTTTTTATCGATTTTTAGACGAATATTTTCTTCTCACTAATAATCATACTGAACAACAGTCATCGTCAGTCATAAGAGTAAAACACTGCCTTAGCGAAAGTCAAGTTCATAGTTGAGCTAACTGAAAGTTAATCTGTTTTCAGTCAAATCATCATCTGAATTCTAGTGACTTTCATTTTGATATCGTTTGATTTAAGATGTAGCACATTGTAGCATGTAGAGTAATTGGTGTTACATACAACTTAAGGTGCTGAGTAACAAGAGACCATGAACATACAACTCTAATGTTATATAATATTATTCTGTTGTGATTACCATTTACGATATTCTACGTTTAACTGATTCTCACTATTTATTGAATGTTTTGTGGTTATTAGGTCTAATTTAAGACAATTGGTCTCTTTTATTTCATCCTTATGTGCTAACTAATACTTAGCCTCATAAACGTCATATTAGTTTGACCAACAATTCTTTTAATCTGTTGATTGAAGGATTGGAAATAAAAAGAAGTTCGGTAACATTGGAACAAGTACTTGGTGAAGGTCAGTTTGGAGACGTGTATAAGGGATCTTATCGTAGAAAAGTAAGCGTTAGTTGTAAATAAGGGTTTAAAATTTATAGTTTTTCTTCTAATTTACTTGTCAACAGCGTACACGCCCTTTTATATCTATCCATCCATTTATGTGTGTCTAGAAGGTACAACACAGTAGACTGTTTTGAAAATTATTGAAAGGTGCTATGAAGAATAAGCTAAGATAATAAACGCTGAAGAAATTTATTCATATCATTATAAGAATGTTTCTAGAATATAAACCCAAGGTTACGTAATCTGTTAAATTAATAATCAGTAAAAGTAATCATGATAAGAATAAGCAAATTATAATGAGGGGATACTGAATGTAGATGGTTTAAATCCGACTCATACATCTGAGTGTTAAATTAATAGTAAAACTGAAAGTTTCCAGATAAATGATTACAAGTGGATATTGCTGAAGCGAGATGAAATAGCATCAAACTAAAGTTCTTTCCAGTTTTTCATTAGTTACTTAGTTTGATTTCAGTCAGTGATGAAGTACTGTCCTTTATTATTTTATGGTTTTGGTAGTAATATGAGTTGCATTTGTATTACTTGTCTACGCTTTAAATTTCGTTGGCAAGTGTTAAAAAACGAAGTTGGATGTAAATGAACTCCGAATAGTGCTGGTTTTCCTCAGAAAGTCAATACCAGGTTATTACCATCCAGCAAGTTTAAACTTGAGTTATGTGTTCAAACTAAAACACATGTGACAGAATGGCAATATCGAGACATTCCAAACATTAACCAACAATAATTGTTTTAAGTCCAATCTTGAATGTTAATAACGGAAACATTTAAACCCTTACTATTAACGAAACGGTTATCAGTTATTATTAACAATTTGTCCCTTGGTAAAGGAGCTTTCCAGCATTACTTTCCCATATTTGATTACAACACACTTTTTTGAAACGCATTTGTTTTATCCGATTACAGTATAATTATATTCTTTTTGATTCCACGCCAACGTTTTAATATTATTCAATTAAACATAACACATGACATATTTGAAATTGATCGTATCTTCTTGGTTATATTAAGGACTGAAAATTATCAGTCATATTTAGCATATGTGCATCCTGTGTAAATTACTTTCCTAATATTAACAGGAAAATAAAAACAGTTATGAATTCGATTTATTTCCGTTGCATGAACCGACAACTATCTAAACTTAATAGCTCAGTGGATATCTTTTTAGAAAGTTTAAAACATAAGGTGCTATGCTAAAGTTCAAGTGTGTTCATCAACACTTGAATGAAAGTATGTTCAACTGTTGGATTATAAAAAAGGAAGAAACTCAAGTCTTAGATTTCAGTATTAGCCATATATATATTAAATATATTAAAAATTGGGCAACGGTTATTAAAATGCTTCTTAAAAGAATCTACTAATTTACTGAATATTCCAGGATATTGATATTTTTTTATCAGTGACTTATTTTCATTTGCTTTTCTGTTTACTTATTTAGCCTAATTTCGACCCATTATTGGTTGCTGTGAAAACATGTAAACTGGATGCATCGTATGAAGAAAGAAAGCGTTTTTTAGAGGAAGCGCGTAAGTTATACTATTAGTGTATTACTAACTAAGCATAAATAAATTAATAAAATTAATTATTCATTTGTACAAGTATAAAATACATTTTTTATTTTATTTCCACTCCACTGAAATTGTTAGTTAGTTATTTTCATGCCCATGGAGAAACTGTTTGATTGAACGTGCATGTAATATTTATTAAATTAAATATATATAAGTGATAGATTAGCTTAATAATAATGTTAGTCATTGATTCGTTGTTTGAATAATTTGCAACTAATGAATTAAATCAAAGGAACTGTTAATCTTTTTTCCAGTTTACTAATGTGAAAGATATTTTCCTAATATTTTAAACTATGCTTCAATGCATTAAACAGTTTATAATTTATTAGGTTGGTAGATTTGTGGAACTGATCTAATCGTGGATTGAAAATTAGGATACAGTAAAAGTATGTACATAGATAAAATTTAATTAAAGTCAACAGTGATTGAATTTCAAGATTTGATTAATAGGATAACTGTCGAGTAGTCAAAACAATTTGAAACGTCCCCTTTGTAATCCGTACTTTTCAATTGTTAACTAGTTACAGTTGGTCAGAGGTGTAAACTGTATTTGAATTTGTAAAACTTCAATGGTCAGCTTACTAGTAATCCAAGTCACAACGTTACTGCAGTTCTTATAAGAGTTCATGACTAAAAGAGATCAGATAAGTGAGGAGTATAAAGGTTGTTAACATTCACATTGGATGATCGTCAAATTTTATCGCAAATTGAAATTATACTAATGGATCCGAACTGAGTTACTTTAATAGTCGCGTGTTCCTCACAATACCTGAGGGTTTTGCATTCAACCCTAAGCGTGATGGTGAATCTATACTGATAATGAATCCCATATTCGCAAAAGAAAGCTGTTCAATGACCTCTAGTTATGAAAGGTACCCAAATCAATATTGACCTGAGGTGAATAGAACTTCCAACATTTTAGGTTACTCATCTCATTCATCACCCGAATAGCATCAATTTCTCAAACCTTTAATCAGAATAATAGGAAGCCATATAAATGGTTACAGGCTTTTATATTACTTAGATATATAATGTGAATATAAGACAACAATATTTTCACGATTACTAGTTTCCGCGACAAAAACTTATAAGAATATTTTCTGAAACCTGTATAGTTAATTCTTTTGATTCTCCACCAAATTTTCGTTCTTTCTGCCTCGAATCTCTTATCGATTAGCACTTTTAACTGAATGGATAGATTATCATTACATCAATTTCTCAAATAATACCCACTTTTTGAAAATAAGAAGAGGAGAAACAATGGGGTAGATGATTTATGAACGTAAAAAAACAAATGAGAAGTAATCTCTTGATCGATTTTCTTATCACTTATGGCTCTCTATCCTTTTTTTAATTATCAAACTGGTCTACTTATCCACTTTTTATTTCCATCTGGTTATCGTTTGCCTTAGTTATTATGATTATTGTTATTATTAAACATAAAAGGCATCGTTAATGGTTAATGTCCAGTAAAGTGATATATACGTACATAAATGATAACAGTTAACTGCATATTTAATTAAATGGAATATAGTGGTTTCGATCCTTTTAAATAGATGATTTAATTAGGAAATGTTTTGATGTTTTTCTAAAAAAATACCATTAGCGTATTATTCTACTTGAAAGCACTACACTTAAACAATATGGTTTGAGAAAAGAAAAGAAAGTATTGTAAATTGAAACTGTCGAGTAGAATTTCTAATAGCTCCCACACCCCTCTTGTAGATATGAGGGATTATAACTGATCAATCTCTATTGGGACACGTGTAACATTTATTCACGAGTTATGATAAATTTGGATTGTGACTAGAAATTATATCTTGATGCTTATTCAATCTCAGTTGGAAATCACCACCTGGAAGCACCCGTATCCCACTGTAGTTAAATAGCAGTATTTAGGATGCACATATGCCAATGGAAACTGACCAAATAAAGTATCGAAAACATGAGAAGACAAGCCCATAAAATCTAACTCCTAAGCCATCAGATAGGTTGAAGGCTTATGAGATAGTCCATTGGTGTTTGAATCGAGACGTACTAAGATTGGATATCATTACGAATACTATTAGCTGATGAGTTTCGAATGGAACGAGAAATATGATCCGGATTTCACTTCTATGTACAACGTCATTAAGAAATATTGCATCGAAATCTCTAAAATGAAAAACGGGAACAATATATAGGTATTGATCGGATAAAGCTCAACAAATTGTTCCGAAAGCCCCTTTTTAGAAAGAAGGTTCATGTCTGCAAATAATAATATGGTTTTTTGTATTATTTTTAGTTAGTTGCGAACCTTTTTTTAATTCATTGACTGATACTGTTTAGCTACAAATGCTTTCGAGCTTACTTTTATCGATTACACTGTTATTGTACTTTTAAATTATTCCATGTTGCATTGTGACGGTTGAAATTCATCGATGAGTGTGCCATTATTGCCTATTGTAACTAATTAGATTCTTTTATGGTTGTAGTAAATTAGTAGGTTGCATGAAGAAAAACTAGTGATTAATTAAATATTCATAGTTCAGTAAAATTATTTAACTTGTAATTTATTAACTCAGTCAAAAATGATTTACAGTAAGGCGAATGCTTTTCATTATATTATCAATTCGGTGTCAGCATTTTCCTCTGTTCAGTAAATGCAGATTCGATTGCTTACGTTTAAATGACCAATTTTCACTCTCAGCATTCAATTTCATTCATATATTTTAGTACCGATGGGTTAAAAAAATATTTATTATAAGCTTAGTTAATCCTATTGGAATGTCATAACCGATTAAATTCAACCATGGCAAGTACGCACTTCATAAAACTGCATAATCATTATGTTGTAATCTCGAAACTAGACTGAACAAAGCTCATATGAACAACTGAATTTCGTCATTTTGTCATGTTGAAATAATGCTTGAACAGAAAGTACATACAGGACTAAATATTTTTCCATGGTCTTTTCCCTTCACCGTTGTAATCCAGCTAAAAAAATCAATTCTTAGTAAAAAATAATCTATAAAGTGTTAGAAAATATTGGAATAATTTGAATAAGTTCATTTGGTGTTGTTTTACTTGCATCTTCTCATTGTTATTTAGGACTGCGATTGATCAGTCTCATGTTGACATATGTGCATCCCGCGCGGATCGCCTCGACATAGCCTTAAGTCACAAGAAAGTGGCTAGCAGTGGAATCCAGAACGCGCGTTTCGTCCTATTTGAGACTCGTCAGCTGGATGCACCTGCATCACAAAGTTGATGTTCACTCCAGGACTCAGTAGCTAGGTGGAGAACACGATGACGCTTGAAGTGAACCGTATTGGGTCCAAGTCCCGGAGTGAACATCAATTCTGGGACGCAGGTACGTCCAGCTGACGAGTCCCAGATAGGACGAAACGTGCGTCCTGGATTCCACTGCTTGCCACTATCCAAATTTGTATAAATTGCTGGCATGTTTGTTTCTGTCTTATTTACTGAAGCATATATTCTCAACGGTTTACTGGCAAAGTTGACCAATACAATTCAGATCGACTATTGTAACCTTAGTGAATTTTTTTCACGATAAGTATAATGATAAAGTTAAATGACATAGCATTTAGGTATTTCCACTTGATTTTATGCGTAATGAATGAGCTTTTCTCAAAGAAATATCATTCATCACTAATCAAATATCTAACACTGATTAAATTCACAAGAGATTAATCGGATAAATTCCCTGAAAATGAAAACATTCATGACCTATATCAATCAATCATTGTGCTTTGTTTTTTTTTCATTCTCTAAAATCAACACGAATATTTCTGTCCCAAGTAAACAAAAATAAAAACAATAAAGCAAGGCAAACAATCAAAAATTCATACTCAATATTCACTCAATTTAACTATTCAATGGTCAATATGAAGTAGTTGTTATCTTTGAAAAAATTCATTGTTATTTTTTGTTTTTGTTTTTTTCTCTTGACTTTTTAAACTGAATTATTTAACAATGAATTAAATGAGATAACTAAATCTGATGTCTATTGTGACATCAATATTTTTAATCTAGTTGTAAATATTTTGTTTGTTTGTTTGTTGTTGTTGATTAATATGAGTAAATAAAGGTAGAGATGAACTTGGATTCGATTTTAATATGCAACACTCTGATTTAAAATTTCATAGTTTACATGAAGTTATTTGTAAATATGACCCTGTCATAATTGTTGAAAACTACAGTTTTAAAAATATAAAAGTAGTTATGATTATGGGAATTGTTAAGCTTAAGATAGAGAACAAGTTTAAAATTACATATCAGTTATAGAGTGTGTCTTGTCCCTTTCCAGTTCTGTCCAATTTCTGTTCATTTTTCTAATGTCTGTCTCCATTTTTCGGCGTAATGTGCTCTTTGGTCTTCCTCTCCTCCTTTGACCCTGAGGATTCCACGTGAGGGCCTGTCTGGTGACGCAATTGGGTGGTTTTCTCAATGTGTATCCGATCCACTTCCAGCACTTTTTCCTGATTTCTTCCTCCGCCGGGATCTTGTTTCGCTCTCCCACAGTACATTGTTGCTGATAGTGTCTGATCAACGGATCCAAAGTATTTTGCGTTTACAGCTGTTAATAAACATTTGTATCTTCTGGATGATGGCTTTCGTAGTTCTCCAGGTTTCCGTCCCATACAGTAGAACCGTCTTGATATTTGTATTGAAAATTCTGACCTTGGTGTTGGTTTACAGTTGTTTTTAGATCCAGATACTCTTCACTTGTAAATACTTTGCTCTTGCTTTATCGATCCACACCTTCATATCTGCATCAGATCCACCGTGTTCATCAATAATGCTGCCCAGATATAAAAAGATTTTTACACCTTCCAAATCAAGTGCGATTCGATTGTTGAATGCTGTGTTGTATCGGAGAATCTTGCTTTTCCCTTTGTGTATGTTGAGACCTACTGCTGCATTGTAATTATTACATAAAATACATGTCACTAGTCTGATATTATGTAATCTTGTTTGTTCTCATCCTTTGATTTGAATTGATTTTGTAATTGAAACCTAACGGTGATAAAAACTCATTTCAAAATGAATGATCCCTACAAATTTACATACTAATAGTAGATAAGGCGAGACTATAAATTGTGGGCTAACCAATCACGTATAAGATAATAGGTCCCGGATTTTGGCGCGAAATTCACTCATCATTTGGATACATAGAGTTTTGGTATTATAGCTGATGTCAGTTTGTGATGAAAACCCTAAATCTAATTTCTAATCTTAATCATCAACTGTAAATCATAATGCTAATTCCTCACGTATGATTATGACCCTCATTTGGTCCTAGTTATTAGGTGGACACTCTCAAGGTCAGTCTGGGCATCCCAAACATCGTCTATAAATTACAGTCTCACCGTAGATAAAATAAGCCCAAACTAAGTTGGTTATTTTCCTCAGGATTTGAAAAAAATAGCGGAAAACATTAAGTGATAAGTGAATCGAATTCACCAACTATAATTTTAATTCGTCTTAAATTAATGATAAACTACTATTTTTAAAATCTGCAAACTGAACTCTTTAAGAATCTTTTCATGTTATTTCTTATATAACTAAAATACTTCATTTTAGATTGGTTCTTATCTAAATTATTAGTAGCAGTAGGAAAGGCTGTCTAGTCAATGTTACATTTTGTCGATTTTCATCAATTACGATTGTTTGTTTTTTGTGTTTTATATGTTTTTAAGATATATTGGGAGAATTCGATCATCCACATATTATAAAACTATTTGGGGTATGTTCTGATGAGCCGATTTGGTTAGTTATGGAATACGCTGCACTAGGAGAGGTAAGTAAAACATTTTTGTTGTTGTTTAGGATGTATTTGCCGTTTGAAATTACAATTGATATTTTTAAACGATTCAATTGAATTAACCTTTATCTTGTTAGTAAGTAATTCTATAAGGTGATACACAATCTGTTTACCGAACATAAGTGTTATAAGTGTTATCAATAAAAAAATCTACTTGAAAATATCTGAATCATTGTTATCTATCAAAATGAGTATTTTTGTACTATGAAATAAACTTGAATAGTTGTTTTAAACAGTGAAATATTGTGAAGTAAAGTTCTCGTTTTTGTGTTAAATTTTGATAGTAATTTCAATAGTTGAGATCATGAGTCAGTTGAAGCTAGGCCACCTTAGAGAACCTAGAAGCAGTGGACGACCGTTTCGTCCTATTGGGGACTCCTCGGTAGTGCGCATCCACTATCCTGTCTCGCGAGATTCGAACCCAGAAACGAACGCTTAACCTCTAGACTACTGATCTGGCATCCAACGGTGTTAATGTCTAACTTCAGCTAACCAACGAAATTGAGCGACACATTCACATTTTAATCTCTGAATAAAATTTAATATTTAAATTAAGTAATTTACGTACTTTGTGTAAGATTAAACTGTGATTAAAAGTTTGAAATCATATTTGGAAAAGAACAAACCTCTATAGTTTGATAAAAACTTTTGATAACAACAATTTATTCAACAAAACTGCAAGATATTATACGGAGAGGTAAGAGTGTAGTGAACGAAGACTTGGTGTGGATAACAAATTCATTGCTAAGTACAAAATTAATTCATTTGTACATCTTCCGTCTATAGTTTCTTAAAAACTTCATCATTCCTTTATTCCTGTTGTTATTATAATTACTCTCTTTTGACATTTCTATTCCCTTCAATTCGATCTATTCAACCTTTTAATCCCAGGCATTCTACTTTTGATTAGTGTTAAATGCTACTTATGTTGACAGATTTGATTTGATATATCCTCTTGTTAAGTAGATTTTGTGCGTATTTTTAGTAGTATTATGTAAAGTATTTGTCTCACTTCATTGAGAGTAAGAGCAAAATCATGAGTGTTACTATATGAAAGGTTAGTTATCATTCACCAGAGATTGATTTTAATTGGTATACTAATGAAAACCAAGGAGTCGCAATATAGCATGACATTTCCACAAACCGATTGAAGATGAAATCATACCGTTGAGCATCCGTGACCCCGCTTGCGATCGGACACAAGAACTTTACACCTCATAGCGAATGCTCAGTGATTAGAACCACAAAGTCGGAAGCCGCTGGTACTATTCTGGTCTCTCTTTATTTGCTAAATATCATACCATATCAACAATGAAATGTCTGCCTAGTGTTCCCTGATTTCCAATGATATCATAACTGAGATTGATCTGTGATGAATACAACCTAGACAAAATTCCCTGAAGTAAACGCTTCTATTCATTTAATTCACATTTTCATTATTTCCTGCTTAATTCAAACAACATAAACTAAGCAATGATGGATAGTGGCTAGCAGTGGAATCCAGGTTGATGCGCGTTTCGTCCTATTTGGGACTCGTCAGCTGGATGTACCTGCATCTCAGAGTTGATGTTCACTCTGTGACTCGAACCCAGTACCATTCGCTTCAAACGCCATCGCGTTATCTACTCATCTACTGAGTCCTGATAGCCACTTGCTTGTGCAATGGGGCGATCAATTGCAGTCTTAAACCTCAATGGGAAGATACAAGCCAAACACTACCAAGTGGTTTTATACTAATTTTGATTTTTCTGTACATTTATCAATTATGAAATATTCATTTTAAACAAACTGAATATTAAAAATTAATTCATCCATACATAAAACAAGTCAAGATTAGATGATAGTTATCACTTTTAAATAAATTACAATTTTTGTTTTTTCGGGGTTAACTAAAATTTAAATTTCAAATATGATTAATATTCAAGTGATAAGAATCATGAAATATTGAATTATAACTGTTAAATATTACAAATATGTTTCTATATAAGCGAATATTCATCAAGATTAGAACGAATAGTTTGGGCACCGAGTATACAGAAGCATTATGTGTGAAAATCATATTTAAAATAATCATACATACACACAAACAATTCGTTTCAGTCATTTATTTTCACATTGTGAACTTTTCATATGATTCACATTTAACTGACTCATGTTATCCTATTTACCAGAGATCAACATCTTAATATGATTAAATCAGTACAATAAAGATTTGATTTAATTTGATCGTTACTACGCTATATATTTCTTTGATGATTTTGATTATTACCCTGAAGAAGTCCAGACAAGTTGGCTGGACGAAACGTTGCCGATTATTTCAAATATAATTTCCATATATAATGTTTCTATATAGTTACTTCAATTAATCATAAACGATTGTAATGTATTTCTTTTACATTCCATTAAAATATAGTAAAGAATGGAATAAAATAATTTGGGAATTTTCCTTTTGATTTATTCACTTACTTTTATTCACCTCTCTTCCGCATTTATTCTTCATTATATAATTATTTGAACATCTTTTACAGTTCAATTTTAATAATTCTTAATGATGATCATCATGAAGTTTGTATTCTTACAGTTTAAACCTACTTCTTAAGCTAAAACATTTAATCAGGCCGTTTTACTTTAACAATTCACTTTTACATGAAGTAAACACTGATGATCATGTCTAGAAGGAAAATAAAAGTTTCGCAATCAAACCGCATAGCTCAGAAAACATAATATAATCAAGCCTATTTTCTCGGTTTAAACCACGATTTAATCTTAGCTAGATCACTATTAAAAAATACTGAAATCCTCACCAAAATATCTTCAATATAAGTATTTTTTGGTAGTGTATAATTTCAAGAACAAAGTAACATAAATGACTTACTTAATGACATATTCTTACTTGTAAAAAGAAACAGTAGAATGTTTTTCATTATTAATATTGATGAAACCTTAGGTTTATATTAAATACTTACAGTAGTATGCAAGTTCTTTTATGACTAATAATCTTCTTCGTGATTAGGACTATGAACATTCTTCAGTTTCCACTAAATTACTTAGTATTAAAGTTTATTTGTTTAGAAATTTTTCGTTATATCCACCTATCAATTGTCACCGAATGGAAAAAAAACTGTGGGAAACTTTTATCTATTTCCCTAAATTATAATTATTCAGTTAGTTGCTTTTATTTTTAATCGATAAAACCAATTCCCCATTGGTATCATTTGATTTTGTTGTCCAGAATGAATGTATACCTATTTTTTTGTACTGAACTGTAGTCAGTCAATATTACCAACACTTTGATGTTGCATTATCATGACTATTTTCAAAGAATATCCTGTAAATAGAAGTAAAAAATATTGTTTACTTGTAATTTGACACAATTAAACACTTGAATTATACAATAGGAAATTTTAAATCATTAGATTTCGGTCTTCAAATTGATAAGATCAAACAAAATACACATACGTTTTATCCTCAGTAGAATTAAAAAAAGGTTGGTTTTTATATTTCTATAGTTGGTCCTTTACATTTTACTTTGAATAAACGTATTAACGACTAGAAAGTTAGAACGTTTCCTGTGTATTCATAAATTCGATCGATAAATATCTCATCGCATTCATGGGAATGAAAAGAAAGAGGGAGAAAGGTTTCAACTTGACATTGAGGAATATGAAAAACAAAATAGTATAAGTCAGATTCTAAAATGTTATCCAGTAGAACGCAACGGTGAATAAAGAAATACTATTTATTAGTGATTTTATCGAAGATATGTCAGCGTGAAATGGTAATCGGCGTTTATTTGGAATGACTAGCGTTAATACTGTTATATCCGAGCGAAGATTAAATCATGAGTAACTTCTGAGACATATTAGTTGACTAATATTATCTATACATTCTTATGGTATAACTATCCAATAGTTAAATTATATATATTTATATTCCTCTTATTATAAGCTTTATTTTGACCTATAATTTAGTATTGTACAATTTACTGTTCTTAAGCTATGTTCAGTTTATTGACTACTACCTCCCACGTCCACAGCCACTTTTTGGCTTTATTGTGTATAAATGTTATTTCCTATTTTATGGTGCGTTGCAGTCTGTTTGTTTGGTATAAACACCCAGTATGTCTGAAATAAATGATTCGCATAGTGGAAACTGGTATTGGTGTTCTGGACTCAAGTGAACAGGCTAGGCGGACATAGGACCAATAAGGACGCTAGGCTGCTCATACCGGTCGAACGTGATCGGTCTAGCACAGTGCTGAAGCTGTATAAGTCGTATATTGATTGGCGGATAAATCACGTGATAAAAAGCCGGACATAAAGTCATAACAAATATCACATGGTAGATATTGTCCAATTAAAATTTTTATATAGCGGCAAATGATAAATGGTCCACGAAAATTTTGAAGAAACTGATGAATTATTTTAGATTGGGATAAGCTTGATATTCGGTGATCCCACATTGTTAGTGGTTTTTTATCAGGTGTCAATTTCTGATAAAAACTTCATTCTGATTTATGAATTCCTTATATAATCACATTTAATAATCCTGAATACATTCATTTCACTATTGATTGATTTAATGGTACCAACCGGTCTTATATAATCTAATCCTCAGTGATATCTACAATTTGTTTTTATCATGTTGAAATCTAACTCTATCATAAAAAATGAATTGACAGCTCGATAGTTTTAAGTATTAATGATATAACAAACCACTTTAAGAATATCTCGTTGATGATCTGACGAGTTAAACAAAGCTCTTTTTAGTTAACAGATACACTACATAACCAACCATCGAGTAACACGAAGATTCAGTACTGGTCTTTCATTAAATTTTTTCGAGCTGCTTAGCCTTCTCAGTCTAACCTATAAATGATATTTTTCTCTTTCTATATGAACAAAATATTCTCTTGTCAGCAAATAAAGACAATACTGTGAAATTGAAACATCTAATGTTGGACACGAAGCCGACCTTAGACTTGATCATCTGTTGTGGGGTCACGTATGGGCACTTCTGAAGAGTCTCAGATTAGTAAGAAAAACAACTGTCCAGTGCTTTCAGGTTTTTGAAAATTATCCAATTTAGATCAGTTTGTGATAGTGATGACATTCAATGATCTGCACAAACCCACTAAGGAGAAGGAATAATTTTTCCTCCACTTTGATTCATTTTGATAAATAGTTTAGTGAATGATTTAAAATATTTAAAACTATATTTTTAGTATATTAATATGTCTAATTTTAATGATTTTGTTTTCTTTTTTTCTCACTCGTAGTTACGCCATTATCTTATAGCTAAGCAAAATGAACTAACTATAACACAGTTACTTACATACTCCTATCAAATTGTGACCGCTTTAGCCTGTTTAGAATCTAAGAAATGTGTTCACAGGTAAATTAATTCACATTTTTTAAAATATCAAAATAAATATCAAAATAACTAAATGTTTCATAAGTATTTTCAAATTTTGGAATAAAATGTTTTTCTCTAGAATGCGATGGTGGAAAAGATGTGTAACTTAGGTGGATAGTGACATTAAGGTTGATTGAATTCATCAATCAATCAGAGAAATCATGCACAAATATAGGATCATGGATCAGGTCAACTGGGCAGATAATACAAACAACAATGCATTAGAAATCAATAATACTTAATCAAGATCAAGGTACGTAGAACTAGTTGTCAGTCAAACATGGAAAAACTGGAATAAATTATTTCAATGTGAAACTTATGGTGATGGTATTGCAATGAAAGATCAACGAATGAAACACCCATCCAAGTCATAGAGGAAAAGTAATGTCATTATTGTCTTTTACACTTTATTATACTTACCGTTCACAATATTTGATCAAAGAAGAAAAGGCTGTACGGTCATGAAAGGAACGATCTAATGGATGTATGTTTCGGAAATGGCTATCTCTAGAAAATTCTATATATAATTTTTATTAAACCGATTACCACGTACAAAACAAACAAAATTCATCTATAGAATAATCCCACTCGATATCAAGAACGTTTTCAACATTAAATGTAATTCATCAAGGTCTGTCGGGATATGTATTACCGACAAGTTTACAAAATCTATAAATTCGTAGTTACATTAACTCAGAGACACAGAAAGAAGAAAAGACAAACAAAAAGTATATAGGATAAATTGGAGGAACTACAAAAACCACTATCTCGGCCGAAATGACCACCAGCAGCTATCGTTTTAACGCTGCGACACAACTTCACTTATATCAGTCATAGTGGTCTACTATGGAAATGAGCTCCACTTAGAAAAGATCACAACACTGGACGTAAGGAACGCAAGAAATTCAGAGACGTTTATCACCGATGTGATGGATCGGCCAAAAAGCAAACAGAAATCAGTTCAACCTAACAGCCAACATCGAAAATGACGAAAAAACTGCAAGGTCCAAAATCATGTTTCGCGAAAAGACGGTCGTAAAAATATGCAAACAATGGCCACACAATAATGGACAAGCTTGAAGAAATTTTAAGTTGCTAGAACAAGCTATAAGTCGCTTGTGGAGGTATTCCAATAATTTTCTTCTTTTAGGATTATGTGCTAATGATGTTGTCTAGAAATACATTGAGGGTTACGCAATTAAACCACCTAGTTCAAGGAACCTAACATCTGCAAAAAGTAAAATTACAATAAATTCCATTTCCAAATACCGAATAATGAGATTTTAACTCATATGTATAGGCCTAAACATACGAGTACTGATCTGTACTAGATCCATAGTCCAATTAGTGTGGTATAGTCATGTTTGTATTAGATGCATCATTTAATATCAAAATATGAAATAATTCTCATCGTGTCATAAATAAGACATATCAGAGCATAAAAATATCACCATTCAGCATCCATCTTGAAATATTTCCCATCTGTTATAATTGAATCATCCTATTTTTATTTTCATTGTTCATACATACCTGAACGTTCTCAAAAAACCAATACAAAGTTTATATAATGTCAAATGATTTAGACTAATGATCGCATTAGAACTCGATCAATACAATTCACTTCACACTAGGAACTACAAATATGTGACATTATTTATTAGCCAGTTATGAATCTACGTATAAGTTTTTATATTATGGTGAATATGTCAACCCATTTACATATATTTTTTTGGTATTTCTATATAGTAATTCTAATGCCTATAGGTAAAAGTAATTGTTAAAATATTTCTCATACTGAACTTTAAAAACGAAACGATATTTAATTCACAGAGTAGTTACAAAACACACAACACTATTTCTTTAAGACAAAAAATATTTCTAATGTTTATGAAATGTAATCACAATAAGCATTTTTGATTTTTTTCAGGCATGGAAACAATATCTGCCAACGTATACTTATTTTATGTTCGATTTTATTACATAATAGAATGATGATATTTAGCTCGTTTAAACAAGTCATCATAAATTATATATGCATATTTGACATTCTAAGTGTTAAAATATGGACATAGGTACACTTTGATTTTAATACTCTTAATTAAATGATGTGAACTTCAGTAAGGGTTTGTTTTCAAAACAAAGGAAACCATTTTTGTTGTTGTTAAAGTTAAGTTTATTCTAACTATTAGTGATCGATCAATTAGTTAAGATTAATGATTTAGATAATCAACAAATAATTCTTCCGGTTTTCTAAACTTCCGTACTTATCAATAGAAAATATTGATTAGTTTGTTTGTTAATGATGGATAGCAGTGGATTACAAGAAGTACACATTGTCATACTTGGGACTTATCAGCCGGATGTATCTTTATCCCAGAGTTCATTTTCATTTTGCGACTGTAACCCAGTTTCGTTAAATCCAAACCTCACTACATTATTCACTTAGTTACTGAATCCAAATGTTTGCTAGCATGTTCAATGGGGTGAATTTCGACTGAGATAAACTGGTGACGTACAATTCAGTGATATCTAGTTATCTTAGTTCACAATCTAATCAATTATTTTTATCAACTCTCCTTATATATATATATATATATATATATATATATATATATATATATATATATATATATATATAGTTTTCAAAATCCCCCAATGTGTTCACTACATTTTAGAGATATAGCTGCTAGAAATATTCTTGTCTCAAGACCAGATTGTGTAAAACTAGCCGATTTCGGAATGTCACTTATTTTAACAGATAAAAATGACTTTCAAGGTAAGTAAACACTTTATTTGGTAATGGAAAGATTCGTTTTTATCTATTTCGTTTGAATTAGCTTTATAATTCAAATATAACATTTGACGGCCGTATGACTGAATGAGATTAGTTATTTATTTTAGTTTATTTGTGGGAGCTCTGGTTTACTGTATGGATTGGATTAATTGAGTTAACCCCTGTGAAACAGGAAATACTAAACATCTGTCTTATCATTTCACAGTCACAACTTCATCACGCATCTAACCCAAGATCTTGCTTTGATGGATGAGTACTTCACTACTAGACTATCAAAATTAGAATTCGATCGTTCAAACTCCCAACTTTAGTCAATATGCCACATCGTTGAACCACTACTTCTTACCACTGATTACGCTTGTTTCACACTTGTAATTTACATTAGCGGTTACGCTTTTGTCCTTTTTATATGAGTAAATATGTTCTCATATGTAAACCAAAAAACATTAGGCCGAATAATTTAAATTATACATATATATTACATTTTATGCTATTTCACTGATGAAATACTCTCAAGCATCATGAGTTACTTGTTCCTAATATTTAAACAGTAAATACCAAAATTTCTTACCCTAAGTATTGTAGGAAGTTTCGCCAAGTGTAACGAGAATACTCCGATATGACTGCCTATATGAAATATTTAGTTTTTCTTTCTGTGTATCTCTAATTGTTTTAAGTATCCTGTCTTCCGTCAGATTGTAAGAGATAATCAAACTGAAATCCTGGATCTAAGCCCGTGTAATCAATACTCGTCATTAAAATAATATATAAGTTATGAGAGAACAAATATTCTTCCCGCGGATAGACATCCGACTGAGTTGCTTTCAATTATGGTGTCACCTATAAACTTTTTTGTTAACAACATATGGTTCTGTAAATATCAACACATCAGCAAACTAATCAGTCCGAGTTCATGTTTATTGTCATAAAATGAACGTTTTGAAGATCCCAGTTGCATAATTTTATTTTTTTTCCAACCGACATCAAGTTATGCCCAGTTCCATTTGAGATAAAAAGATATAAACCTTAAGCTCATTACTAAGGACTAGATGTTTTAATTCAAGATTTGGGTTTGCCGATGCCAAAAGTCATTTAAATATAATTTACATCGCATTATTTAACATTTGAATATTTAAACAAATGAACATTTCCTACAATTCTTCCATATCTTATTACTAAGCAGAGATGGGTGGTGGCCAGCGGTGAAATCCAGGACGCGCGTTTCGTCCTATTTTGGACTCGTCAGCCGGACGTACCTGCATCTCAGAGTTGATATTCACTCCAGGACTCTAACTCAGCATCCTCCACTTCAAACGCTATTGCGTTATCCACTTAGCTACTGAGTCCTGATAGCCATTTGCTTGTGCAATGGGGTGAAGTTTAAATTCACTTGGTACTGTTTACTTGAATCTTCCTATTGATGTTTAGGAACACAATTGATCAGTTTCTTATCGGCATATGTGTATACTGTACGTATTGCCTCAATATTGACTTGGTTCACATGCATTAAATGCAGAGGTAGGTGATGGCCAGCGGTGAAATCCAGGACGCGCATTTCGTCCTATTTTGGACTCGTCAGCCGGACGTATCTGCATCTCAGAGGTGATGTTCACTCCTAGACTTGAACACAGCACCGTTCGCTTCAGACGCCATAGCGCCATCCTCTTATCTATTGAGTCCTAATAGCCGCCAGCTTGTAAATTGGAGTGGAGTTTTAATTCATTTTTTGTATTGGTTGTTTGAGTCTGCAATATCGATGCAGTCCGCACAGGATACACATATCCTAATATGAGACTGATCGACTTCTGTCCTAAACATCAATAGAAAGACTCAAACGACCAATCCAAAAATGAATTATATCTGATTACTGTTTTGATTAATCTTCAATCATTAGTATTACTGTGATATTATCATAATAAAGTACTAATCAGAAAGAAACACTGTAACAATTTAAACTTTGTCCTGGGAGTTAAAGAGTCTCCATTTAGAAAGTTATGATGCCTCATGGTGAAAATCGATATTCACTGGAAGTCACGTGGCCGATGCCCCTTCTTACAGCCAGAGCAACAAGCTGGATTCCGCAGGGACCGATCAAGCATCGACTGAATCATGACACTATGGATCATTGTTGAACAATCAGTTAAATAGGACTCGTCACTATAAATCAACTTCCTTAAATATGTGAAAGCATTTGTTAGCATGCATAGGAAAATCTCATGGTACCTTCCTTGACACTATGATGTACCTGAGAAGAATAATGATATCGAACAGAATTCATACGACAAACTACTGAAACGTCGTGCATAGAGGGTAGCTAATAGTTTCATTCTTAGTGAAGACCGGTGTCAGACAAGGCTTCTTAATCTCCCCTTTTTTCTGCCTTCTGGTAGTCGATTGGATTTCGAAGACCATTACGTCTCAGTGGAAGCACGGAATACAATGGATAACCTGGATGCGACTGAACAAACTGTGCTTTACAGATGATCTAGCTCTTCTATCCTATAGAGAGCGAAAAGTGGAGGTTAAGAAGGCCAGTGTAGCAGCAGCTTCAGCATACACACGGGATAAGGAAAGATACTAAAACACAACACTGCGGGCACCGATTCAATCACACTTGACAGAGAAGCACTGGAAGTGGTAGAAACTTTCACGTGTTTGGGCAGCATTATCGATAAACAAGGGGAACCTGATACAGATGTGATGGCACGAGTTGGCAAAGCAAAGTCAACATTCCTACAATTTAAGAACATATGGAGTTCAAAACAACTGTCAGTCAACATCGAAGTCATAATCTTTAATGCAAATATCAAGTCAGTTCTAATGTATGAAGTTGAAACATGTAGAACAACTACAACCATCGACACAAAAATACAGGCATTTATAAACAGTTATCCATGCAAAATACTCAATATCCGTTGGCTTGATATCACCAGCAACAAACTACTGTGCTAGAGAACAAATCAGCTTCTAGCTGAACAGGAAATTAAGAAAATATACTGGAGGTGGGTAGGACATACATTGAAGGAACCATCAAACTGCATCATGAGGCAAGCTCTAACTTGGAATCCTGAAGGGAAACAGAGAAGAGGAAGGCCAAAGAACACTCCACGTCGCGAATAGGAAGCAGGCATGAAAAGAACGAATAGAAACCGGAAAGAAATGAAAAGGATTTCCAAGGACAGTGTTGGATGAAGAATAATGGTGGGCGACCTATGCTCCCCATGAGGGATAACAGGCATAAGTAAGTAAGTAATGGAACATGAATCAGTGACAGTCGGGAACATGGCTGGAACTCACGCCCACTTTGTTTTTATTAATAAAGTCCCTCTTTGAAGGTAAATATGGTCAAATTGAAGCACAGATCAAAGGATTTCAGGAATAAACTGATGCTTGATAGAGTCTAGATAGCCAACAATGAAATAATTCAAAGCTTTGTTGATAGTGTTATAAACACCATCAGCGAGTTATAAGCAGTTGAAGAAATCCTACAAAACAAATGATTTCAACTTCACTAAAATCAGTACTTCATTAAAAGTAATAATTATGTTATGTGTATAACGTTGATATGTACACATTTTATCCACGTATAACTGTAATCATTGTGGAGAGAGCAAAAATTAAGATTCGAACAGAACAGCATGAATTCATTTTATATTGTTTAGTTCTCATAAGCTTCTTACAAAATGTTGTATTTCAAAATCCCAATTACAAAATGGGCCCAGCTCATATGAAATAGTTTAGTTTGAAGTTGCTGTTATCATATAAGAGTATAGAATAAATAAAATATTGTAAATATATATCTTATGTGCATGACTATTTTACCAAAAATACCTAGAAACATATGGTCATGTAGAAGACAAACGCTGATAATATTTAAGAGCGAGTAAAGCTCAGTTAATTGAGGAACTAAGCTCACTAATCAAGAAAGGAGCCTAAATAAAAGGATTTAATTATGTAATTTATCGGAATAAAAGAACTGAACAAGATTTTATGATGTAGTGAAGAAATGTTTGTATTGCCAAAGCAGAGAACAACTATCTCCCTTTTAATACTGAAATCAGACTTCTGATACATGATAGCGATGCGTTTAGCAAACTTCTAAAGATTGAAGTTTAGCTGTTTATGAATCACCTTGGTAAATTTAAAAACATCAACATGATGTTCTGTGTCTACGAGATGTTTGGTAACTGTACAGTTTGAAGTAGTTACCTCATGTTCGGGAATTGTTTGGAACATTTTCAAAAAATATAAAATATCCCTCCTTTCTGTTTAACTGATTTAGTAAACATTGTGTATATTTTAGTGTTGTGCACTAGAATGATAAAGCATTAGTTAACTAAACCATTTTTTACAGGATTATATACACAGTTTAATTTTGTCTAAATTTAAAACAGTTTTCTTGGTCACTTCAAAATCATGCGTATAACGATCTTTTATGAATATTCTATGGGTACAAAGATTCCTTTACAAATACATTTAGTGATACTATCTTGTGAATAAATAACAATACTGAGCAATAAACATATAGATACTGCCATATTATTTGTTTAACAAGCAATTTACACTTAATTAGGTGTTATAAACAGTTGAAATATATTTTACGTATTCATTTTTAAAATTTTCACTAGACTCATCTTATTTTCTCCTCTCTACTCAATTAGCTGAACAAGGTAGAAAAATGCCTATTAAGTGGATGGCTCCAGAAAGCCTACATCAACGACGTTTTAGTTCAGCAAGTGATGTTTGGATGTTTGGTAAGTTATTCTTTTTATTAAATGAGAAAAAATGATAACATTGGCGGTATTTTTCAAGACTTTCTCGAAATAACTAGTAAGTAGATGTAGTGAAAACGTTAGAATCGTTAGAGTCGTGGCTATGGTTTAACCGTTTTTCAACGATGTAGTTTATGCTAAGCTAGTTGGTTACACTGTCGTTTGAAACATTATTATTAGTACAAACTTTAAATATCACTGAACTTTATATGATTCGTATCCTAATTATTAAATTTCAAGAACTGGCCAATATACACGGGTCCCTATTTTTACAACATAAGTTGTAATATATCTAGCAGTAAATTACCTTAGCTGAAGTGAGAAATCATCAAACAGTTGATTAAAGGTTTAACAACAATAAGAGGTATATAGATTTAAAAGGAAAGTTTCAGTCAAATGGAATACTTATAGTCGAGTTAGATTTATAATTCAATTATTACACTTTCAAGATTTTTAATAGGGATTTATTATTATCTATTGCGATACATGTATATGCTTCTCCTAAAATCAACTGATTGTCTGCTGTCGTTATGGTTAAAAACATTACATCAATATGGGATTGTTATGGGACACATGGGATTTCCGAAAAAATCATTATTATCAGTTTTAATTTTAGTCATTTACTTACAAAAGACAATCATTGTGGAATTGAAAACGTGATATATGAGCGGGAAAAAATTATTAGGCATATATTATACTACTATTATACCGAGATTATAATATCACTGGATTTGACACTATAGATACGTTATATACAGAATGGAACATGTTGTACCAGATATGTTATTAGTGACCAAAAATAGAGAACTATATCTTAAAATACACAGTGTTTTATTCAACATAAGCTCAGTAGCCAATCACATGTTACTTTCATTAGCCACATATCAAGAAGGGAAATAACGGTTAGGCTTCATAACGAGCGCATAATCTTTAGTCCCCTGAGTTGTGACCCAAAGGTTTACAATTGTTTTGTAAAAATATTTGTACGGATATAGTACGAATTGTTGTAGCATTGTCAATCACTAAACCCTCAAAATTGTCTTGAAAGCTTTTTTAAGTGATATTATTAATTTTTCTTTGTCTATGACATTGTTTATTTATGTATCCGAAAATAGAGTAACTTAATCTACACAATCATTAAGAAATACTAAATACTCTAAATGTTCTTGACAGACTTTTCTGTTATTCTAATCAGAAGCAGAGAACATAGCACATTATTGATTAAATATAACTAATAAGTTTAAATTTCATATAATTAGTGAGTTTTACACTGATTTTGTTTATTATGAGGCTAGGTAAATGAAAGTATTTGACAGGAAAACACAAAACTAGTCTTTATACTAGTTAGCATTCGTCAGTTAAGTGTCTCTAGATTCTTGAGGAAACTGACGACCTGTGCAGAATTTAAACTAACATCCCTGACATTCACAGCCAAAAACGTTATTAGTAAGATATTACGTTCACGAAGGACTTCTTGTAGGACCGATTTCTGCAACTGATTGATCATTGAGTAGTGATTGATGTCATTTTTACCTAGTCCTTAAAGCTGATTGAATTCAATCGGCCAGAAGAGAGTCCGTCTGATTTCAGGCCACTTAGACTAGTGATCACATTACAACTTGAATGATGAGATATGATCAGTACTAAAAGACTCTAAATGTGGCATTGGCCGATACTCAGTTATCAATCATGTTTGTTAATTGCACATTATTTTCAATGAAATCTTGAGAAAAAGAGAAAACTGCTCGTTACTTCATTTCTCTGTTACTATTTTAGCTGTATGCATATGGGAAATTCTATCAAAAGGAGTTAAACCATTTTCAAATTTAACTAATGCAGAAGCTGTAGAACAGATCGCTCGTGGTGTTCGCCTAGAAAGACCAGATAAATGCCCTCATAGTTTATATGAAATTTTACTACAATGTTGGAATGCTAATCCTACCTTACGTCCAACATTTTCGATGCTTAAACCTAGAATAAGGTAGGTAATATATGTCTGAATTATGAGATTGATTAAGTATAAAATGTTTCATTCAGATTGTTGCATTATATTTCAAACATTTAACACTGTCTTTAAACACCAAGTATGAAGTTATTATTACACTAAATAACTACTTAAATGTTTTATTTAATTATTACAATAAATGGATTGTGGTTAGGAATCGTACTTAGGATAAACTGTGTGTCAGTGTTGATTTTCGCTTTGAGATTTCAATCCAATATCTCTCGTTTTAAATGCCAATGAGTTATACACTGAGCTATTGAGTCTAGATAATTACCACAATTTTCATTGAATATGATGTTTATGTCATTAATTATCCCAGTTTGAAATAAGTCAATACATACCCCAACAAAGACTGACCAAAATTAAGTCTCAAATAACAATAATAGGAACAATAACGGGGCGGATTTACATGCATATAGCATACAATTCTCTTTGAAGCTAGCACACAATAATAGAATCATGCACTGCCCTGTCGCCCTTGGCAGATCAGGCAACCCGAAAGTCACGGCAACACCATCAGTGTATACGACAGGCTAGGTACCCCGTAGTCTTATCGATAATCAGTGTTCATTTTTACATATTCACGAAAACAGTCAGAACATACTTCTATTGACAGTTCCACATCTTACCTGATTAGTATTAGATGTCTTTTGTGACCACCTTTAAAACTTATTGAACATTTTTCTCTATTTGAGTTTTATACAACTAATGAAATGATCTTTCATGAGAGGACTATATTCATTTTTGCACTGCTACTTGTTTAGGACGAATTAAATTTATTCATTATCTTTAACGTATATAAATGTTTTGCTTCTTAGTACTTGTTAAATGTTTCTAAAATCTAAGTAGGTTAACAAGTGTAAACTAACTCTTTATTCTGTGATCAAAAGAGAGTACATGATTGGTTAAAAAATTACGCGTATTCTTGAAATATCTAGATTTATTTATTCTTTTAATATAACTACTTCATTGTTGTAGTGTATAATAATTTAAAAAAATTTTTGAAAGTCACTTGCCAAATATTATCATGGAATTTATTAATAAAATTCATGAGTCAACTGAAGCTAGACCATCACGGAAGACCTTGAAGCACTGGACAGCCGTTTCGTTCTATTGAGGGACTCCTCAATAGTGCGCATCTCAATCGGCGAGATTCGAACCCACGACCTATCAGTCTCGCGCGCGAACGCTTAACTATTTGATGATTGAGCTGTCATCCAACGGTGTTAATGTCTAACTTCAACCAATCCACTAAACTGCGCCACCGTTCACCATTGTCTTCAGTGAGTAACTGTCTTACAACAGACGTGGCTGAACTCCACTGGTCACGACTGATAAGTACTGGGTTCGGATCTTGCGGGGTGAGATGTTGGATGCGCACTAGGATGAAACGGTCATACAGAACTTCCAGGTTTTCGATGGTGGTCTGGCTTTAATTGACTCATGAATTCAACCATTAAATTATTATCATGAACTTGAAAAACTCCTTTAAAAATCTGATATTTTATTTATTTAGTCAAACAGCTTTAAATTAGAAAGTTATAATCATTAAACATTGACTACAAAGGTTTTAGATCTTTAATATTTAACAATGAAGTTCAAATAATTGTTATCTGAATATCGATATGTAAAAGAAGAATCTACTTGAATTTCGCCTAATATGAAATGAATTTAAATATACCCACAATACTGCGGAGCAATCAGTTCATTTGTATATGGTAAATTAAGACTCAATGAAAAAATTGTTTGTAGAATTTCGCTTCAACAATGATAATGATAATATCACAAAATTAATTGAATAAATTCAAGTAAATTATGTTGAAATGAATTTTGTGAAACGTGATTGATAACCACAGTAGTTAACTAATATGACTTCTCAATTTTTTTTCGAAATCCCCGTCGCCATTGATATGTCTTGTCGGTTGAACGCTGGTTGTTATATCTGGTCGTTGCTGATTGTTATGTCAAAAATTGCTTATCACTTATCATTGTAAAGCGAGGAACCACTACAGTTCCTACGATGCGAAAGTAAGAACACAAAGACTGGTATAAATGGAGATTTATTAACCCCCAAAACACGACGACGATTCTAGTCGAAAATACACTAATTTATATACTGATTTATACACCCATTTCTGATTAACAATTAAAATAAAACCATATATATGAAAAATACTTAGTTATAACAAATCATGTACTGAATATAGTTTATGTTAACTTAATAAAAGAATATCTCATATTATACAGAATAAAATGTTATACGGGGAAACAAAACAAATACTATATTGAGTAATCATTACATTGAATTAAAACGGAAGTAACCTTGAACAAAAATCATAATGAGGAAATCAATCTACTTTGGACTTTTCTTCCCATCATATCATTAACCAAAAAGACTAATTGTAATTCAAAGGACTGTATATAATTGATGGCAAGTTAGAAGGAGAACATTTTATGATAAAACACAACAAGAAATATAGAAACAGATTTATAAATATTAAATATGAACACAGCATGGTAATTTTAGGATCTGCCAGCACTAATTACTTAAATCTTGTTTAGTAATTAAAAAAAATCTGAAACTGAACATTTCTGTTATAGAACAAAGGATACAATTGTTCTATACTATCCTTTGATATGCGATAGTGGGACGTTTTATTAAATACCTCGATAGAAGACGGTTACCCATAGAAAAGAACGGAATATTATCAAACAATGTCTGAAAACTGATTGAATTGAGACATCTAGGCAACTGAATGTCAGGTGAGTTGTCTAAAGATTAAGTTCTGTCAACGAGACTGAGGGTTCGGAGTTCAATAAACCAATAAGGTGATAATGAATGTACAGGAATGGGATATTCCATGCTAGAACAAACTAGCTATCTAATGTTGCATGTTTTAAAAAGAATATCTCACGTGGATTAGTTTGCGATGCCAATAACATTCCATAATCTCTACAAAATCGCTATACGGATATTTATTTATTTTAATTAAGTAGACAGAATACCGTAAACATCAAATTTGTTCACTTACTACACTTCTTAAAAGATAAGCAGAACATTTTAGAATTATAGGATTTATGTTGCTGTTTTATTCAAGACAGATAATATTGACTGATTAACCTTTTTTATTGATACCTTACTTTATATGTATATTTAATAGGGAATTAACTATACAATATAAATCAACTTCAGCTTCGTTAGAACCTATGTATTTAAATTGTGGTAAGTTTGACATTTTTTGTTCATCTACATGTTGTTTGTCTGTTTATTTGCTATTATCTTCTTGTCATGACAACTTTGTTTTTTTTTTACGTGTTTTAATTTGTATCAGTTTAACCAACAAATTAATGTACTAACTAACATTATCTATTATTAGTTATAACAAAAGAAAGAATGGAATTCTATTTAATCATTTTATATAATATTAAGTGTAACAGAATTGTCATAAAACTGATGCACTGAAATATTGTTTAAAAATTAAAGATTTCATTTGGAAGTATTCGAATCTTTCGAAGCAGGGTCATCGATGCCCACTGCTGAGGAGTCCCACATTAGGATGAAACGGCCGTTCAGTGCTTCCAGGTTTTTCATGGTGGTCTAACATCAATCGGCTAATGATATCAACTATTAAAATCTATATCTCAAAAAATAATAATAATAAAATGATTCGTTCAGTGTTAGCATTTGGAATTTTCACACTGAATACGCAAGGCTAAATTCCTAGACAAAGTATGCTTAACTCGTTATTCACTGTTTTACTACGTCCGAATACTCATTAACTCGTTTATTGAATATAAAGCTTATAACATTGCTAGTGACGGTTAAATTCATTCTATTGATGGTATTCAGAAATGAATTTATATCAGTCTTGTCGGTATATCTAGAATTAAATGTTTATACCACTTTTCTTAGAGAATTATTCATTATAGTAGACTAATTTGTTGATTCGATTTATATTACGGTATAATACATTTTTGTGTTTGGTTAATTATCACATCAACTGTTGAATTCAACTAGCTTTATTTTTTTCTGCAAAAGATTATTATTGTTCATTATATATATATATATATATATATATATATATATATATATATATATATATATATATATATATATATGACACTCCACAAACACCTAGTGAAGCATAGTATTAAGGGTGTGTTCCAATTCGTTGGCAAGATTAAAAACATATACACGAAAGGTCAAATGATGATGTCCTTTAACGCAACGTCATTGTTCACAAATTTCCCACTTAAAGAAACTGTAGAATATATTTGTTAACAACTTAGAGAGTAAGAACTAGAAACGACAATCTATGTGGAGATCATCAAAGAATTATTACTAAAATGTACTATGAATGTACATTTCAAATTCAATGGTGAAATCTGTGGACAAACAGGTGGTGTCGCGATGGGTTCACCTCTAGGTCCCATATTGGCTGATACTTTCCTCTCTAAACTAGAAAACGGCCCACTGGCATAAGAGATCGACAATTTTTCATTTTACTGTCGATATATGGATGATACATTTATCTTTTGTAACAACCATACGGACTTCATAGAAACAATCTAGCGTCTCAATGCAGTTCACCAGTCCATAAAATTCACATATGAGAAGGAGAATGGGGTAGAATAGCCTTTCTAGATGTTCTACTCACAAGGAGAAAAGACAGGTCACCAAGAAGAAACATAAACAGGAAAATTACCTGGACGGGTCAATATACAAACTACAACTAATGTTTTCCACTCGTCCAATAATCACTCCGAGGTTGAAAGATAAATTGCCTAGACTAGTCACCTCTTCCTGTATCTATCAATTCAACTGCTCTTGTGGAGCAAGTTATATTGGCAGATATGCTAGTAATTTGTATATTCCGGCTCGTGAGCACCTCCCAGTATGGTTAAGCAAAGGTGTAGTCAAAACGGTTAACAACTCCATTTTAAACCCATTTAATTCAGACGGGACATACAGTCAACATGGAGCAATCTTCCACAATAATATATCGTGTTAACAGCAGTCCACCTAATTCCGTCAGACTGAGAATCTTGCAGACGGCTAAAGCAATTGCTGTTCGGATCAAAAAGCCACAGCTTTGTATCCAAAAGAAATATCTTCTGCCTCTCCTTTTATCCTGGCCAACTTTGGGGCCAACTAGTTAATAATCAATTTTATAATACGGTGACGTAATTTGAATAAGCTTCATTTATATGTCTCAAACTTATCACTATTATTATCTTTACCATTATTATTGCACTTGATAACCTTTTTGAAAAATTTATTCAGTATCCACCCCTATCTACTATATCTGACGTAATTCATATTATTCTACATATTACGTAATTTCTGACTTTTATTCCATTATTCTCTCTCGCCCCATGTTGACCATATTTATCCTAATTGTTGAAATCATGAGTCGATTGAAGGCAGACCACCATGGAAAACCTGGAAGCACTGGACAGCCGTTTCGTCCTGGTATGGGATACCTCAACAGTGAGTATCCACGATCCCGCCCCGCTCACGGGAGATTTGAACCCAGGGCCTATCAGTCTCACTTGCGAGCGCATAACCATTAAACCACTAAGCCATTTATCTGACCACTTATCGCACAATTTCATTTCGCTTATAAACTGATCCAAGTTAACACTTTATATTAGTCAGCTCCAACATTAACGATTTGATTTTATATAACAACAGCAATTCTTGATTCACATGTTACAGTTTTAAGTGATGTACTCTGCCTTAATTCTGGCCAATTTCATGGATGACTAACTTTTATTATTACTTTACAAATAGTCTATTTGATAAATTAATCCCATAACGACAGTAATTTATTTTGTGTTCTGATTTACTTCATTCATTTCGTTTCCATTGTATTGCCTATAAGAATAAACTTTTTGACTCTCTATAGCATGTCTAACTACATTCAACTTTTATACGTACGTTACATAAAAATGAATTGTCAATTAGAAGTTTTTCTTATTAATCTTCCTTATGTTGACTAAGCTCTACACATGTATTTGTTGTATCTCACCAACATCAGTAACAAATTTCATAGCTTTATAATCTATTTTCAAGTTTGTAATTAAACTATTAACCGATGAAGAAAATTTGGGGCTTACATGAATACTGTCGGTAGTAATGAATTCTCTAAGCTGTACAATGGCTGTATGGCATAAACCATAATTGTCTATGATCATACTGTTTAAAAGATATTAGTTTCTATATGAATACACTTGACTAAAGTTGTTCTTACTTCATTGTTGATCAAAATTATTTTTATGAACTTCAATGAAATCCAAATACTTCTTTTTTGATTTTATATAAATCAGGAAATAACCCGATCATCCCATTAGTTTATTGAAGATAAAGATATTTATATTATAGTGTTTATTTTGTTTGTTTGAATATGATAAGGATGAGAGTGGTAGGCTTTGGCTAGAAAATAGTTCATGAATTAAATAAAATCGTATTGTTTCCAAGAAACCCTATTGGCCAGTTTATTTTTTACTTGACCTCAATATGTAAGAGAAATTTACACAAGATTATTATCCTTGTATACTAGAATATTTTACATGATAGACAATATTTAACAAGAATTTCGTCCTTCTTAGGAGTAAAGTTTACGAAATAATCTTTTCATTTATTTTCAAAGTACTGTTTTAAACTCTTGTTATTATGAATCAACTTACATACTTTTCTAAACATTACTATCGTACATCACGATTGCTACTTACTATATTTTAACTACACAAATTGAATTAATAAGTAATGAGTTCATTTAAACAAGATCATGAACTGGTTAATAGGTACTTGGCTTTCAAATCAGTAAGTTGTATGTTTGAAAGTTAATACAGTCCATGCAAGCAGTTAGTATCATTTACTCTCAAATAAATATTATGGCTGGATCTGTGAGTATAAAACAGCTTCTGGTATGTCAGTTATACGAAACATCATACTCACTACTGTATCACACTGTAAACATTACGGAGAAACAATGTGAATAGTCTTTTTATTTCATCGATTTTATCAAACTGAATACTGCTCTCGTCGTATTCATTAGTGGTCATTGTCATACATATATATTATAAATCACCAAAGTCAGTTGAAATTTTCTTAAAAATTTTCAAATTGTCTAAAGAAAAATGACCACATCAATGCCAAAAACTTATGCTACTTATTTATCATTTTAGTAGTTCGACCTTTTTATTTTTATTTCAACACATAGATAATGGTACAAAGAGGCACCAAATACATATGCGCCACACAAATCTCATTCGATATGTGTGAGGGCTATGAGAATGCCCGGGTGCCCAAACCGAAGCAGGTGGTTCTCTTTTAGTTGCCACACCCCGAGCCTTCGACCTGAAGGTCTGATCCACAAGGCAGTGGAGCATCGTAAGGAGATGCAGTCCCATAGGAGCCGGTGACCAAGGAATTGGTTCATATGCCATTTGTTCCCGCAGGATACTGCAGCCCATCTGCACTGTTGGGAGTATTTCGAGAGGTAGAGCGGACTCTCCCCACTCTCGGCCGTACCAGGGCATTCGAATTACGCTTATAAAATGATTTCATTGCTGCTCTTTAGATACTTGGTTAGTCGACCCATTTCCTAATAACTAGAATTAATCAAGGGGATGAAATGTATTTTATTTAATCATTTATCTGTAGGTACGTTCAAAAACTATTAAAGATCTACTAGGAAACATTTTCAGCTAATTATAATATTGACTTTTCAAAGCTTGTCAGGGAAATGAGTGGTATCATTTTTATTACTTCAACAATAGTAACTCTGAAGTAATGAACTAGACGTTTTGTTCCCGTGAAACTAACATACATATTCCTAATTTTTTTTAGCCGGTGTTGATAATCAGAATGACCAATCCAATGTAAGCAGTTTCCTTTATTATATTATTTTTCTGTAATTGAAATTACCTTCATACGATCACTCTTTTTTATTGTTTACTCCTGAGAATACGTTGATCTAGGTAAAGATACGAATAAATTTATTGATTAGCTTTGATCTCCATTTATTTCTAATTGACTACTAACTACATAATTCAAACGAACCAAAATGAAAATCGTAAAACAGGTTTCCAGTGTTTATTCTTTGTTTAAAAGAACCTACTTTATGAATAAAGATCTGTGCAGAATTGCTCAGATAAAAGACGGAATCAGTAAATACAAGTTTGTTTATTTAAAAAATGAGTGTATAAACTGTCACATATTCATCTGAATGGGTGAAAATTAAAGAGCGATAAAATATTACACATACAATTTAGGAAAGCTGAAATACAATTGTACATATTCATATTATTCAGACAGGAAACAAATAATATGAACTTCGAAGACTATCCAGTTTTTTATAAATGCATACAAAAAGTTTACGAAACCTTCCAAAATGCCAGGGACTTTTATAACTACTGAAATAAACTTTGTTCGCTAAACGTACTCGATTTTGCTATGATGTCATTTGTTGTGTTACTCCTTTCAAGTAGCCGGGAGTATTAAAAGCATTGATGAAAGAGCTGGCTTCATCGGCATAAGAAGCTGTTGTTATAAAGATAATTAACCAGCCACAAATGCTTGGCGCATTAATATTCAAAGGCCTAATTTAGAGACATTATTCAAGGGATGAAATTGTTACGTTGACTACAAGTTCAAGGTTGGCTTCTTGAGTAATTTGCTTTGATGAAATACATCATACAGTGTAATTAAGATTTTAATATATCTTCCATCGTTTACTTACCACTCACTTTGATGATGTTGCTCTCTATGTGATATATTGTTCAATCAGTAAGCTTCCATTGTTAATTTTAATTTCATCAACATCATCCGCCTCAAGTTGAAACAAGCTCTTTGAAATCATTCCACAATAGACCAGTTCTATTATATTGAGGACCTTATTAGTGATTGATCATCTTTATTGACATTCTACCGTTATCTTTTGGATTATAGTTGACCGTACTATCTGATTGGTATCGAACAATAGAAATTTTGTTGAACGTAAATAACAAATAGATTCACCATAGAAAGATAATACTATACTCAAAGTAGTTTACTCAGGTTATCGCTCAAAAATGCTATGAAATATCACAGATTTGATATAACTATAATTTCCATTTCCTTCTTTGAGGATAACTTATTCAAATAATTTCTTAATGGTAATATAGTATGATATGTGCTCAATTCGCACTGCAATCTCCTTTAACCCATCATTGAGGAATTTCACTTTGCATAATTCATTTTCATAGTTGGAAATTATTAATCTGTCCATGGATAATACTGAATGATGCTTATCAGTTTAATAATATATCAGGCTAATGAATAAACTATGATGAAGTTATCATATATGGTTATCATATAGTATAGATTTAAATAAATATCTCTCAATTAGAAATTGGTCTGAAGTAAATAATTATTGAAATATTTCACTTATTTGTCTACATTTAAATATATTCCAAGTGATTTGACTATTATTTCTGTTTCATAGCGCTTTTTATCAAACCAAAAAAAAATACTCTAGATACTGTATTCTATACTATATTCTTCAACTGACTTCAGTTATTAACAACATTCTCACCTTATTATAACCATCGATATTATGAAATTAATGGTTGTTTACTATTTCTTATCTTATATTGTGAACGACTATTTTTTTAGAGAACATATCAAAATCAATTCAGAATCAACTTAACACCACCAAAGGCACCTAAACAGTCTCCAATACAAACATCTAGACCTCATATGAATCTACAAAGTCGATGGGATGAAGCCAGTAAAGTGAACTGGACTAAACTAGATATTCAGTCAAGTCGATATTTATCAAATAATTTAGAAAAGTCCTATAAAACTATAAGTAATTCTCCATCACCAAATCGTCTAGTGGATATTGATCTCAGTTCAAATTCTCAAAGAGATATTCCATCATTTCGTGATATGGAAAAATATAATGCTACACGAAATGCTTCGACATCAAGTATGAATTCATCAACACTTGGTTCAGTATCAGTAAGATTCATTTTTATTGAATTTCTTTATAACATTTACTTTACGTTGAGGTATTGTTCAAGGATATTTTTACAATGAGTATGTAGAGTGATCTGAAAGATTTTTATCGATATTTCTTGATAATAAGTATACATCTTCTAGTGTATTGAACTGTAACGCATTTATATATGTTTAATTGTATATAGGAGAGTTGTAACGAGATGCATACGATAAGACTACGTAAAATTCACAACATTTTTATGATTTAAAAGGAAAGGGATATGAGAAATATTTTATTAGCTTATTTCAGTAATGAATTTAGTAATCAATGATCCATCCATAGTTGACAAGTCAACCAACATCAGCGACTTTGATAAGTTAACGAGTATAATTATCTACAAAACTATGACTGAATTTAAACTGTCTTGAAAATATTTTTTGGATTGGTATTCTCATCCTGTTACTCTAAATAATAGATATTAGATTCTATAAGCACTCGTACTAATTGAAGTTAGCATGAAGTTGTATTGTAATTTTTATGTCACGAACTGGTTTTATTTAGACGTATATTGAAATTCAAGAAGCATCGGAAAGTTGTTTCGTCTAAATATAGAAAATGTCAAAGGTAGGCATTCACGAACCCATCATTGTTTAGGAACTTTTAACCCTCAGACGTCTTATTCGCTGTAACGAAAACTTATAAATTAAATCAAATTTCGATACTGAGCGACCAATAACAACGGCGAAATCCAATAAACTCATACCTCTTATGCAAAGTAATCAGTTTAGACTATGACATCTAACAGATGGATTCAACCCGTTCAGCTTTTTTAGAAAGTTTGAAGAATAGTAAATATGTTAACTAGCTAGATACTCATATCAGCTTTAGTTCATCCACTACTCATATTCGAGTTCTTTTTGATGTTTTGCTACTAAGAGTCTTATACTTTTAAGACATTGTTTGTTCCCATATAAAACTTTGAAAAAGAAGAAGCTGATGGGAAACCATGAAATAAACTGAGTTACTGTAATTCTGCTACGTCAGTTCGTGTTGCCGCGTTCGAAAATGGAGGGACCGAAAAAACCTGATTGACATTTTAAAGACAATAACGATTCAAAAGCATAAAGTAATTAAGAATATAATGCCAATTCCATAATACTGAAGACTATATCTTTCATTACGTCAGATTTTGCAAGTTTATGATTTATTCATTATAAGATGGTACAGATTTATATATCAGGTGGACGATTTTGAGGGAGTTTCAATCTTTGAGCTAGATTGTTTAATCGTGAAGCTTTCGTTGTTCTCCCTAGAATATCATCAGAACAAACGTCAGGTAGAAGTAAGTTAGTCAAATTTCCCCAAGAACAACTAACAGCGTACGTTGCTAACCTTGATCCTGATTGGCTGTTGTTGACTTGGAGTCTATTATAGTCATATACTAAATATTCTAAAACTTGTGATATAACTCTGTACCAAGATAATCCTTTCAAAATGCACGTAAGGCAGTCGAAACTGATCATCTGCAGATTTACTTACCAACAACATGAATTTATAGTCAATCGCGCCTTGTGGGACCTCCGGTAATCAATCACTTCTTAGAAATGTCGAGCTAGGAACAATCTGTTATGTTCAAAGTTATTTGATTTCCAACAGTTTTCCAAGTGATATCAGCTAGCGATATAAACTAACACAAAATATGTGTGAACAACTTAGAAATTCACTTAATATGACTCCACTTAATATGTTAACGATTTGTTTTGTTATTTCCAACGTAATGGAGCCGTGGTACGGAGTTTCGGTCTCAATTACACTGTTTGTAATCAGTAATTGTTAGAATAATTATGAAAGTTATCATTCTATTCGTTTGACATAAGAAGAACAAAGGAAGCCTATATTATCAATGCATTTTATTAGATGTACTATGAACGGATTACTTGTTATTTCCTGATTTTTTAATACTCTTTTGTTATCAACTTTCTATTTTGTTGTGTATTTCTTTCAGAGTACAGTAACTGTGAAAGGACACTCACCTGATACTACCAGACATAAATCAATTCTACCTCCACCTATGTGTCATAATTCAACGAAAATATTTGATTTTACATCGGAATCGCGAAATTTAAGTGAACGTAGAAGTGATGATTTTGAGAAAAGATACAAATCAGAACTAAGGAAAAATACTTCAATTTACAGAAAAGTAAATTACTATTACCAGTAATAATAATAATAATAATAATAATAATAATAATAATAATATGAGTTATCCTAAAATCAACAAAAAGAACAAGACACTAATTAGTCACTTCAAGTTAGAGAAATTTATTTACATTCTTGATTAGTATTTTACGAGTTAACTTTTGATTTATTTTGTGTAAACTGTTATTTCCAGAAAATATTCTTTGTTCACATGTGTGTCTTCATATGATAAGTATTTTTGCAGAGAGTCCGTTCAATAAAAATTATGAATTATGTAAAATTATTAAATTGATTATCTTCCTTTTACAGTAAGACCCATAATTGGCGAAGAATGTTACGCAACCTTATTATGATACTTGTAAATTTTCATTAGTAGACTTATATACGTTTTAAAGCCCCACAAATATGATTACACCTCATCAGTAAATTTTATCGTCAAAGACAAAGTTTTCTTCTTGTTAAAATTTGTTGACAACATAAGAGTTCTGTTTATAATTTGATCTAGGGTTATTCGATATAACTTATTGGTCATATATATGAGACAAAACATCCTGTTTGTCATATGTACAGAAATTTGAGTAGCTCACTTTCATCAGAATTTTGTGCTGACGACTTTGCCCAGAAAGATTATGAAAGCATCATGAATGGGTCACGTCTATCAAAGAACAATACTCCACTGAAATTACTCACTTAAGCTACAAATCTTCTCCACCATCTTGAAATGGTGTCACAAGTAATTGTAAAACACTAAGAAATCGATTATTTTAATACCCGAAGAAATTGAGAAACAGCTTTCATTATGAATAGATATCATCTAATGGACTACTATGAGATGAAACAATACAGCAGTGAAATAATGCATTTGAAGCTTTAAAAAGAATTGAACTATTTTTCTCTAAAATGAAATTCTAAACTATGAAATTTGACTACGATAGTTCATTTTTTATAGGCTCAAACCAGTAAAGTTTTAAAACTGGATGTAACATTAATTCATTTTTATATTGATTTTTTATATCTTCCCGCTAACATTTTAGACTGTGATTGATCAGTCACTTATTGGCATATGATTAATAAGAGAGTGATCAATTGCAGTCCTAAACATCAATGGGAATATTCAAATGAACAATACGAAAATGAATTAAACCTCACCTCATGGCACAAGCTAGTTGCTATCTCGACTCGATATCTAAGTGAATAACGCAACGGCGTTTGAAGCGAACAGTACTGGATTAGAGTCCTGGAATGAACATCAACTCTGGGATGCTGGTACATCCAGTTGACGAGTCCCAAATAGAAAGAAACACAAGTCCTAGATTCCAGTACTGGCCACCAACCATCTTTGCTTATAATAAAAGTAACATTCTTGTGAGAAATATTCACTTACTAAACAAACTTATCGTTTATTTCTCTTTTTTCAATCGATTCTTAGACAATGCCGCCTTCACTACCTACTCAAGGTGAGTTCTGAATTTCAATGACAGAAATTTTCATTCATCGATAAGTAATCATGTTTCTCAAGAAAAGTGTACTTAGAAACTTAAATTACTTTAAAATTATTTCGATTTAGTATACATTTTAAAGAAAAACTTTTATTTGTATAACTAACTTCTACCTCGTTATTTTTCCCTCTTGATTATGGCTTCTTTTGATTGCTTCTATTTTCCTTTTTTTGAAAAGTTTAAGATAATAGACGATGTGATTTTTTTTATTTAAGCAAATTAAACTCTATTCTTATTGTTAACTATTGATGAATACATGGAACATTTTTAAGACGGTTGTTATCTGAATGAACAGCTATCTTGTGAAAATCACCACAAGAAACCATATTTCGTCGCGAAATCATTACCAGCTATCATTTATCGTTAAGTTCATAGTGTCACCTTAACCACATAGATAGAAACGGCTATTAACGTTTGTTGAAATCGTGAACCAATCAATGATGAGCCACCGCTGAATGCCTGGAAGTACTGGACGGCTGTTTTCTCGTGGAACCGGACTCCCCAATAATACGCGTCCACGACTCATCAACCAGGAGTCCAGCCCAGGACCTTCAATCTCAAATGTAAACACCTAACCTATTGAAGCGGTGTGCAACAACGTTAATGTCTAGCTCCAATCGATTCATAGTATTGTGTGATCATCTTCCTATACTAGAACAATATGACTGTTCAGTTCTTCCATGTTTTCAAGGATGGTCTATTTTAGATCGGTTTATGATTTCAATGAAATTTGACAATCTCCACGACCCCCTACTTACTGCCATCACTTAACTTTACTCATCAAATTAAAAGACCTTAAATCGGTCAAAAGTTTATTAAGTATATTGTACTATATCTCTATCTGTCACATTTCAACTAATAAGTTAGTTATGAACTATAAGCCAGTTAATACAGTATTCAATTTCTATTCATATTGATTAAAATTATTAATTGGAATCTCTAAAATCACCTCATACGGTTATATTTTGTTTCAACTTCTGTTTTTTCATTTTTTTTCGCAGTAATTAAATTGAACATTAATGAAAATAATAATTCATCAACTTCGATAGAATCTTGTTCATTATCCCATAATACTCATAAAATCCGAAGTTTTTCATCTGATGGTGTTCGATTGGCAAGTCATCAAACAACTCCAACACATTCAAGGAATACATCAATTTCTCAGTCAGTGTCACAACATTCCTCTAATCAAAGCATCAAATTCTCTAATAGTTCTACTCGTAATATTCTCATTAATCATAACAGTAATAATGATGATGGTTGTATTCGTAAACATTCAGTATCGGATTCGATCTCTAATCGCCAAGATTCACCGAGTAAACGTAATAATAATAATAATAATAATAATAATAATACTGGTCATGTAGACCCAGTGTTTTCAGCCACTGTAAAAGTTGTACAAACTGTTAGTTCGGTCAGTCAGCAGATAATTACGAGTAAACCAGAGGAATATGGTACCTTGATAAAAGTATGTTTATTGCTTTATTCGTTTTCTCTAACTTGTGACTGTCATTCACTCTTCATTTACTAAATGTTACTAATTTCAGATGAAATGACTTATTTAGAATGAACTGAACATTATTTGTTTGCGTGTAGATGTAAATAGTGGGCGTGTGTAAGTAAATGACAAGTACTCATGGAAGTCGAATTTATACTGTAAAGCCATTGATGAATGGATATCACAAAAGTGTAGGACATCTGTCCAGAAAAAGGATTCATCATTTCACATAAACATGATATAAGTTACTCACTACTCAGAAACCGATCAATCGCAAATATGTCAGCCTTGCAGGTCAGTCATTGTTAGGATGCCTCAGTGATAATGTCTCGATTTTTGAAGCTTGATAATGATTGCTTAAATTCTACAGAATGGAACATCATTTCATTGAAAAGTTTAAGTATCCAATTGCTAAAAACAAGAAACTTACCTTAATTACTGTTTCCTGTCAACTACCACCGATCCTCTAATATCTCAACATATCTACATCAAAAATAAATATGATTAAAGCACAAATACAATTTATTGTAAATTGTAAATTCTGCCTAGGATATCTTATATGGACTTCTCAAGATGAGGTTAGTAAAATGATAACATTAATATGAATTCGCAACTGAGAGTAATTTTAGTCGTATTACTTAACTAATAAATTATCTTCTAGTCCACTCTCAAATACTTTCAAGTTGTATATGTGGCACGTTGTAAAGTACATTTCTACCAACTTTATGTATACATATATTTGACTACATATGTCATTTTTTGAAAATAAATTTTGGGATATTAGGGCATATAACTCTGTTTCAAATCACCTAGAAAATCGTAAAAAAACACAATATCCTACTGTATAGGATTCCACAATAGTGGACAAATAGTATTCGACTTAAAGATATTATGTTCACTGTTACACCAGAAGATGCTGAATTCTATCCGAAGTGGAGTCATAGGAGTTTATTATTAGTATTTCCCCGACCAACGATAAACCAGTTGTATAATACTTTTGGAGGTCAAATGGTTCTTTAACTGATATCAGTTCTTGGAGGAAATACCTTTTAAGTTAAGTTGAATCTTTAAAACAACTGCCGTCTTCTGTACTTCACTCTTGATAGTCAAAATTTGAAATATTTATAAACATCTTGCTTGCAATTTTTTTTTGTTCTAATCAAACAATTGATGTTACCTTGTAAAAATATTTTGAACAACAAGAAGTCTCATTAATTTGAATTAAGTTTAAACATCTCTAGTCATTTAAATTCACTTGGATTAAAATTATTGTTATTGGCTTTTTCTTCATTCGAACAGACTATTGGTACATCAATCAAAGATTTATTCTCTGCAATTCAAAAAGAATTCGGTGATCATGCTTGCGAAACAGTAAGATTAATTCATCTGTTTCTTATTATTTGGTTTTATGTGTTTAGATGCAATTCATTTGATGACAATTGTTAGTCAATTGTAAACAAATGAATCATGATATGCCCTTCGTGAATTTGACAGATAGGTAGATAAATAAATAAATTAATTAATTAATGAATAGGAATCACTCCTCGATGATGACTGTTGCATATGTACTTGTAAAATAAGACAATCGGCAGAAGGAATGAATAAGCATTGTGAGAATTAATAAAGTATTTGTATAGTACATATATATAGCTTTCGATCATCCACTGGCAACTTTTGGTGTGTTCTAGCATCTGAACTATCTTCTTGTCCGGTTTCCAAATGTTCTGACAATGCCGTACTTTCGATACAATAAAACTCTTCACTCCGTTTGACAAGTGTTGTAATTTCAGCATCACATCCCGCTACACACTATTTGCAAACAGTCTTGTGAGTAACATCCACTACATAATTACCCTCTGAATAAATTTATTTTATTGTTTGCTGAGGAACAGATAAGTCTATTTATGTATGAGTTCTGGTGAAACGTTTTCAAAAATTTAAGTACTAAAAACCAATGACGAAACCTTGGATACTCGAGTAACTAAAGTTTGCTTTGAATTATAATAATTAACTTTAAAATGTAACAGGAATATTCACTGAATTAACACTGTCTGAAAAAAACTTTTATGAAAATTTCAATATGATAAAACATCATTAGCAAACATAAGCATAATCTAGTCGTGTATGTGATTATTAAAGAGGATGGTTTGGATAGAAAGATCGACTTAAAAAAGAAACATATTTTATTGGAAAATTCAATTTTCAAGCTGCATACTCTCTTCAACTGTACCTTCAATATTTTCCTACTGTATTAAACACTAATCACTTCATCTGTTCTTATCAATAGATGTTCTTTATCAGTTGTACAGTTCTTAATAATCAGATTTTATAGAGAGAATAGTCTATGCTTTCTTTGACTATATTAGTGAAACATAAATTCAATGTGGATAGTATTTTATTCACATAACATATGACGCAGTAGAATCATGTAATTAAATCATTACATATCCACTAATTGACTATACTATAAAGGTCATTCTACAGTACTTCAAACGGGACTACCGTATTATACACAAAATTTGTACATTTTGTCATATTTCAAATAATATTATATAAATATTTCAAAAGGCCTGTCAAACATAAAGCTCAAACAACTCATTATTTGAAGAAACAAATAAGCAAATGAAATATTCAGTAAAATTTATCAGTTACCAAAATCTAAAAGTCTGTCCATAGAAGAAAGACTATAAAACATTAATTGTCGTTAGTTCTGACAAAACAGAATCGTGACTGACACTTATTTATTGGTTATTCTCAACAATTATTCGTCCCTTACAGATGAATTAATTATACTCAAGTACATTTTTCATCATTATAGGATTAGAATTCACAAATATAACGGAGTATTAATTAACACTTGTCATAAAACTATACTTTCTCCAAATCGATACTACTACGAGAATGTGCTCATCTGTATGAATGATTTTAACAGGTATCTCTAAGCTAATGAAATATTTCGAGAATCATTTTCTTTGTTCAAATAAATTAATCTTATCGCTTAATTTCTAAACTTCTAGATTCTTCTAGCTGAACGTCAATTAAATTCTTCAATGTATTCCCTCATAACAACTACAAAAAGTGCTAAATTACAAAATAATCGAGGTCCATTACTGGAAGAATATCGACGACATTTAATGAGCTTAGCTTATGCAATTGCAGCTGATGCAAACACTTTATATACAACTGTTTATGAAAATCGCATTAAATGATTATACTGGACAAAAATGTATTAAAATTATTATCACTACCTATTAATAATGGGGATATATTCCCTTTGAATATTCCTATAAATATTTGATTGTGAGGTATATTCATTTTTCTACAATGATTTTTTTTCTTCTGTGTATTGCTTCTTGACACTTGAGCTACTACCGTTTTCCTACATACTACTGAAATCAGTAGGCTGTACATTTGTATAAAAAGCAATAAAGTAATAATGTAACAATTGCTTTTGTCTTTCCTATCACCTTTCTGTCATTTCTACGGTTAGTTTTCATTGTTCACTGGGTTTTTTTCTGATGTCTTTTTTTACTTATATACAACTGTTGTAGAGTTTTTTTAAAGATTATTTGTTGCATTGTTTCAAATTCGAAAACTATTCCCAAGTGGCTACAAATCCTGATGGATAAAAGTCTGTAACAGAGTCGACGAAAATATGAGTTAGTATCAATTAACCAAAACAATTGCTCGCTTAAAATATACATCAGGGTTAAGAATATAGATGTATATTTTTACAGATATTTAAGGAACACAGGCATTTTAAAATTATTCTTATTAACTTCAACATTATTCACAGTTCGGCAGGAGAACCTAGCGCCTGTAAATCGATAACTTGATAAGCATTTGTTAGGGCTCCTGACCATTTTATCAATAACAAACTTAGCTAATTGGAGGTGCTCCATTAAATATCCTTGCTATTCCTCAAGAGGCTGCATTTGAAATGTTGTTCCGTACTTAATGATGACCAATGTGAGAGTCTGCCTCACTCTACCACCAAGTATATCGCTTCTTCCAACCACCCTGATATTCTGCATAATTCTTTTGAAACAAAACTATAGAAAGAGTTTCATTTAGGTATCGGTATGTCAAAACTATCTGCAGCTCAACCTATACTGCACATTGTAATGACGGGTTGTACATATCACGGATGTTCAGTGATTGGCAAAACTCTTGCCCATAACTATTTTATAATTGTGAATCCCAAACTCAGACAAACCAGGAGCCAGGAATCCGAAGATAAACCTGGATGATCGTTGATATATCGAGTAGTACATGAAGAATGAGTAACAAAGCGTACCCTATTGTGATCTGGTAAAGGTCCTATCATATAAAGATGAACGTGATCGAAGTGAGCATCAAGTTTGCGGAAAGAGCCCGTAATCACCCTCTGAGCAGACAATCAGGAGCGAATTTAAATTAAGGGTGTAAGCACTATATATCAAGTGAGGCAGAATATTCATGACGTGGCATTTCTATTGGTTGACTGTCGACTAATTGTTTATTTTCCATACGTCTATTTTTCCAAGTTTATTTTGAAGCTCAACTTAGTCCTTTTCGCTTTCTATGAACCGCTAGATCTTTGCGTTATCTGTATAGGTCAGTCCTACTGAATTAATTTCATCCAACATATCGTTAATAAAGATTGAAAGTAGAAGTGAACCTGAAATTACTGTTTGTGAAAACCCTGATGTTGAAACCTTTTTACTCGTATGCGTTGTTTCTACTTTGGTATGAAACATCCTGCCCCTTGGAGACTTTCGAAGCCACGGTAAAAGTTGGTCAGTGAATCCCATCTTTGTAACCTTCACTATGAAAAGTACTTAAGGTACTGCGTCAAAAGCTATTTTCGAAATAGTTTGAGTATTTTAGTTTTTATCCATGTTTTCCTTTATTTTTTCAATGACCAGTCTTCTCAATGCCTTAAAAGATATTAGAAGTAACGCAACTGGTCTGTAAGAGGCTGGGATTTTTCTATCGCCCTTTTTGAAGATTATGGAGAGAGTGGCTAAATTATATTGCTTTTTGCGGCTGGTGGGACTCCAGTGATTGCTTAAACAGGCCAGAAACTGGTGTGCTGACGGCTTACGCTCAATATTTCAAAATTGCAGGTCACATCCTGATGAAATTCTCAAGCGCACGGATTTTTATTTTTTATATACTTACCTGTGAGTGAGTTGGACATCTCCAACACACGCAACTTGCACCAGATTTGAGATGTATTTCACACCTGCAAGCACCCGGTATATTTGATATATGAATTTGGCATTAAAGACCTCCATCTTCTCTGAGTCAATGAGATATCAGCAATCTGGGCTTTTAAGTATACCTATCCCCTAGTTTGTAGGTTTATAACTGGTTATGAATCTGTACAGATATTTGGGGTTAGCTTACATTTTGACTGCTAGCTTAGTTTGAAGACGTCTCTCATATCTGAGTACTTTGGCGTCGCATCTGTTTCTCAATGTGAAGTAAGAGCTAACATCAGAATATTTTAGGAGGACTTTCCTCCCGTGCCAGGCTTTATGTTTTATAAATAGCAAGCGTCCCACGTCTCACTTAACCCAGAATATTTACCTTCCAGGTTTGTTCTTTGTTCGCAGTACCTTGTATAAGAGAGCGTTCTGATTGATGTCTCTTGTTATCTCCCGGTGGTTTCCCAGAGTTAACTTCTACCACTCTCGGGTCCACGGGGCATATTGAAGATGCATTCTCATGGTTCCACAGTCTGCCTCGGCGTATAGAATAATAAGAGTGTCCTCACCGCACTGAATTATCCCGTTTGTTACCACGTTCGATGTGATTGTACTGTGCGTGGTCATGGACATCCTCAACTAGGAGCTGATCATTTGTTGGTGAGTAATCTAAGTTTGAGAGTTTTCTATCTTCATCCTCATGTCTCGGTGCCAACCACATGTTCAGTCAATTTCAAACTTCTAGTCGCTGTAAAAAGTTGACTATGGAATCACGCAGTAGGAATTGTATTATGTATACAGAGACTTAGATATGAAGTACCTAAGCTTTCATTTATTAGTATTTAGTCAAAACTCAGGTGTGACTGTTGCAAAATCGTCTGAATAGTCTTAATTTCGTAGGAGTTGGTACTTGTGGGAGGGATGGTTTATTCTTCCTTTTCCATCGAAGCAATACTATTATGATTGCGTCAGCTCACTATAGCGTTGTGTCACGGCTCTGAAGCTGCCGTTAGTGTATATTAACACTCAGCTTAACTTTTTTGTACCCTATACAATCGGGAGCGTGTCATCCCTTGAATGCTCACTTCATCGATCGATGGGTGATAGAAGAATGAAAGGTTATCTAATAATGTCAAACGATGCGGTTAATACTCTGAGTCGCACAACTATCCCATCACGACAGTGATACCACACTCCTCGAGGTAACCTACGAAAAACTACATATCAGTGAGTAAAAGCCAAAGTATACACCTTTATCCCAACAAAATTTAACTCAATTTGGAGCGTGCTTCGAGTTAAAGTAGACAATGCCCTCTCTGTTAATGTATTCAGGAAGAGACTTGAAAAACACGTACTCACTGATGGATTATCATCTCCAAGATAATCGAACTCACTTAAATTACATGTACCAATCTCCAAAGATCTCCCAAAGTGACTTGAATTAGTGTAGCTGAGGGTCCCCAAAAACCTTTCATTAGATATAACCAAGAACCCGTTCTCGTATTATATCACTAGGAACGAGAGCAAGTAAGTCAGTAGGTTTACTCAAGTCTATGACTAAAATATTGAATGTATTTGTGGCAACGTAGCGCAAAATACGGCTTTTGCGTTACCTGTAGAAGATCATAGGTAGACATACATGGTCAGGCAGCTGATCCCCCAGTGAAAAAGGGCCAGTTTTTCTACGTTCAGAGTTCACAGAGATTTACGAATCGAATTTACGTCCACTTAATCCGAGGTTTTATTTTTTACTAGTTGTGCAATATAAAGCTCGCCTGACTTCTAGGAGTCCCAGAAACATCAGGTAGTCTTATCTTAAATGAGCTTCTGGGTAATGAGATATAAAAACTCTCGAATAATTTACTTAAATGATTAGTTTTGGGCTCATTCTGTAGGATCCTTCGTAACTGTATCGCATAAATCAGCGTTTATCAATATGTAAATTATACAATATCACTCCTTGTCTTTTCTTTGTATTCGTTGAATACTCACTGTTCTTACTGCATTTTTTCACGTTTTAGCAAGTTCAGGACAAGTGAATTCAGCTTGTCACAGCACCTATTATTTACGAAGCTTAGTTGTCGCTTGTATGGTTCTTATTGTAGCCTACAACTGAGTGTACAACTGCCTAATTTTTCTTTAAAAAAAATTCAACGAATACGTCAAATCCTTCTCGGTTAAATTATGTCCAAACGTTTGCGACCCGCATAGTAGCATTATTGCAACTGCCTTTTGTTCCTCACCGTTACTTCTAGTATATCCGAACAAGAACGTTTTTACAATAACGTATTCGTTTGCAAACTTTTTAGAAAAAACGACGGTCTGAGTATAAAATGCTTGTTGGAACCTACTGCAACAGAAATAGTTCATCAACTCAATGAAAGTTTGTGTGGTCGAACAACTTTTGACAAGTGTATGATGCCTCACTCTCAGGGTTCCCGGTTTGCCATTTATGATGATTAAATTTTTCAGATGGGCCGTTTATATAGATTTTCACTGTAAATACTAGTCTATAAGTACACGAAAGTTTTGAAATTTATTAAACTTGCCTTTCGAAAACAATACTTTCAAAGATTTGATACAATATTTTCTAAATCTTTATGCTGAATCCTTTCCCAGTGTAGACATGAGTGTTCAATCTTTTCAATTATCTGAATTAGAGGAAAAGGCTCGTGCAAGTGCGCTCAAAAGAGTTTCTGATCATTTTCAAGTTAGTTTGTATACATCTGATTAATTAATCTCTTTTCAGAAGCCAGAACAACTGGATAAGATAGATATTATTAAATCTAGATTTCTAAATCAAAAGGTTAGTTCTACTGTTTCTAATACATTCAAATATTCATTCTGTACAGACTGCCACCGAAGCCCAGTTAAAAATGGCTCTATATAGCCAGTTAGACGGCAGTAAAGTCGGTTTGGAAAAACTGGATACTGCCCTCGCTGAATCACAAACATGTAGGAACAGGTAGATTTTACTTTTCTTATTATGATCTAGACTCATCCAATTGGGATCTTCACTGTCTGGTTTGTCCGGCTTATCACAGCAGTTGCATGAGTTAAAAAATCTTTCAACTAAATACAGTCAAGTGAGTGTTCTTTCGCTACTACCAAAAATGATGTAGCTTGGTGCTGCTATGGAAAATATGAGTTATCTTGTGAAGGCCCCTGAAACATTTGAACAGGCTCGAAACTATCTGGAGTCAGAAAATCTCTTAGAAGGTCATAAACTGTGAGCCTCTTCCCTCCTAATTCTTTTCCATTTAGAATGCAGGATTTGGAAGGAATTCGTGATGAACTGATGTTTGAAGTGTATCGACAAAAGTCTATGGAAGATTTAGATGTATGTGTCTCAAATTTCAATTACCTTAACTCTTCTTTCTTTATCCATTCTGTAGACATTGCGTGCCTTTTTCCGTGAGCTTGAAAATTTAAATGACACGTTTAGACATAAAATAATTGTTCTTGGATCACGTTTAACTAGTGCAGTAATTACTCACAATCGCTTTGTTGTTAATTGTGTACGTGTTATTGACCGTGAAGAAAGGTAATTTTTCGCGTTTGTCTTGGTTCCTTAATAGTATGTTTAATTTTACTTTGACCACCAGTGTTTCTTGGTATATGGTCATATCGTATAAAGCGACGTGATCTTCGAAAATCCAGTTTGTTAATTAAATCAGTTGCACACTCATATTCATACTGGCATTAGAAAAAAGCGAATAGTTTGACTTGACTCTTTTATCGCATACACGCGAACAAATACAGACGAAGACAACTAGTGTAGCAGCAGCCTCTGCATCAGTGGACCCCAACATACACAAATGAAAGAGCAAGATCCTGAAATACAACACGAAGAACGCCAACCCAATCACATTTGGTGAAGACGCTCTGGAAGATGAGGAATCTTTCACGTACCTGGGAAGCATCATTGATGAGCAAGAAGTATCGGATGCAGACGTAAAGGCGAGGATTGGTCAAGCAAGGGCCACATTCCTACAATTGAAGAACATATGGAAATCGAAACAACTGTCAGTCAAAATTAAATTAAGAATCCTCATTACGAACGTCCAGACAATCCTACTGTACGGAGTTGAAACGTCGTGAACTACCACAACCATCATCAAGAAGGTACAAGTATTTATAAACAGTTGTCTACGTAAGATACTCAATATCCGTTGGACGGATGCCATCAGCAACAGCCTACCATGGGAGAAGATAAACTAGCTTTCAGCTGAGGCGGAAGTCAGCAAAAGACGGAAGAAGATGGATAGAACATACATTACGGAAATCATCGAACTGCATTATGAGGCAAGCCCTAACTTCGAATCCTGAAGGAAAATGGAAGGCCGAGGAACACACTGCTTCTGGAATTGGAAATAGACATGAGAAGGATGAATAGCAACTGGAAAGAACTGGAGAGGATTGCTCAGGACAGGTTTGGATGGAGAATGCTGTTGGGTGGCCTATACTCCTCGAAGAGAGGTAACAGCTGTAAGTAAGTAAGCAAATATTTTAGTCGAGGTTAAACATTTGCCCACATTTGTAACTGTTTAAATGCAGGCTCAATACGATGCATATCTACTTAATTTAAATGTGTATACTCAGCTTTGATTCGTATAATTTGTACGCTGACAATACTATCTGGGGTCCAAAGTGAAGTAAGCGAAGTGGAATTCCCACCTGTTGCCTGCTAATTGGAGGGATGTTTCAGAGTACCTAACCGGTTTAATGCAAAATCAGATAGAATATCATATTTGCTTGTAAGTAACATGCGATGACATTTTTGTTAGTCTTTCTACTTCGTGCTTCTAATAAATATCGCATATATTAAGTTGATCTTGACCGTTTCGTAAATATATGTCGTCTTTTTTAAATCCGATGTGATAGACCTGACGTTGCATACGGTTTTTCCGATCTATAAGTTTGGACGGCGATCCTAGCTCACCAAAGTATCCAACTGTATCTACCTGTTAGTACGTATTTATTAAAGCACATACACTGGAAGAACGGAAAGGAGGTTTAGTGTTGACATCTTTGATACGTTCCACAAAAGCTGAGAGACTATAAAAAAAACATTATCAACAGTGCAATTCCTCATTATTCGCCTGACAGCAAATATGTTGTTGACGTTTCAAAACAATCAATAAACAAAGGATTCAAAATTTATTACGCTTTACTAATGCTGTTGCTAAAAAACATTTACATATTCAAAGAGATATTTCACTCTTGCTTTGTCTTGGTAACCATAGTATCTAGAGTTTTCTACATATCACTTTTCCCACAACCTTAATCATAATTCCTTTCGTTTTTACTTTCTACCTGAGCGTTGCTGAGCTAGTTATTTTTATTCTTATGTACTACATAAACTATGACGTAATCTTCAATTTCTGAAAATTCTATTTTCATGCTCGATAGTGTTCTCTACTAGGATATTCATATATTTAAAGTATACATGAATAACCCCTTAAACAGTTTATTTTTAATTCGTTCCCAATTCTTGTGTTCAATTTTAACTTACATCTACACATTTCACTCAACTTTCATCAAAACTTCTCTGATATAAAGTATTGATGTTCATTTTCATGTACACAATTAGAACTGATGCTAATTGGCGGAAACGATCAGAGAAACATGGTTTTATGCCAGATGGACGACCGAAACAATGGAAAAAACTGTTATTTGACAGTATATTTAATACTATAAAAAATAAGTGAGTCAGATTAATTCCATGGGGTTTCGATAAAGTCATCAATTTTTGTTACTATCAGTTTGAATGACTGAATCGATCAATCTGTTGGAATATAGACCACTTTAATAATTACTCCCGTATTGCACCCGGTGTGTTCACCGATCGATTTGTATTATGAATAGTTGCTAACATTTAAATCCAAAATGGAAATTTCGTCTTGTTAGGATTTCATCGGCCGAAAGCACCTGGATCTTGACGTTTTCACACAAACCATCAAACCCAGTACCAATTCACCTTAAATACTCAAATGTTTTGTATCAAGGTATTGAGTTATAATAGCTTGTATTACTTATTTATTTAAAATTATATACTCATCTGTTATTGTGGGGTTTTGAGCTGAATTTTACAAACCTCTATCGTTACATGGCCTCGTTGAATGTGTGTCTTAGCATTACTGCTTAGATTCACATTTTGGTGATAACTTGCACACTCTGATCCAAATGCATCAAGCTAAGATCTCAGAAAATACAAAATGGATGTTCTGGATCCCTTCGCTAGTTACAACCAAAAGTTGCTAAAACTTGTGGCTAAATGACAATATCGAGATAATTTACTGAAGATACACAATAATGAAAGTTGATTAACTACGGTCCTAAATGTCAACAATGGGAAACTTCAAATATCTGCAACATTGTTAAAACGGATATATTTTCGGAAATTCGCATTCGCACCATCTCAGCTGTGTAGTTATTAAGTTATCTAGGGCAGCTGCATTGGAAACCCCTCCTAGAATTGAGACAGCAGTTACATCTAGGTGATGTATCATTGGTTGCTCACAATTGATTGATCACTGGATGATGCTTGTCTAGTTCTTATTCGAGCAGATCGAATGCTATCGATCATGTTGCAATGTAGCTACCAGTCTAGGTGACTCGACACTGCGGGCACTATGTATTGAGATTTAGATGATGGTTGCTTCCTGTTGAATAGACTTGGGACCAGTCAGTCAGACGCAACATAGAATCTGATTCGTATGTACATTGGCTCATGTTGCCATTCCTCACTAGCGCAGCCAGATGAAATGGTTAGGGCAAACCCTGACAGTATCAGTGGTAATGGAAAAGATTAGATACCTAAAATACGAATCAAGCAAATACTAATTAATGAAATAGGAAACATTATGGGAGATTTAGAAACCTAGAATCTAGAGCAAGACAAAGAATAGATACATCTTTGCCGTCACAAATGGTTTTGGGCCATGTCATTCAGCCCCTAACCACTGGTTACAATAATTACACGGACTCCAACTGCGTTGTTCGTATCTGCTAACATGGATTGACTCAATCGTCATTGAATTAATGGAACAGTGACATGCTTTGGTATAGTCACCCCTAGCTCTCTTCGAGCATATTGCTGCATCAGATATCTTCCGTCGAAATAGGAAGTGGTTCAGGATGACGTTACACATGTCCCAACCACCTCAGTTGATGGGGATTTAATACCCTGTCCCCAACTGGGCAACTGGTTACCCGGTCACACTCGTGATTAAGGACTTATGGAACGATCAGTCGGCTATGTTATTTTCGAATAAGTCAACTATTAATGATTTTCAATACAATTTTCTGCCAGTTTTTCGTCATTTTCAGCAGGATATCTTGAAGATTTTTAAAAATCTATTTTAATATAAATAGGGTGTTTGGAAGCGCGCTAGACAATGAAAATGATAAAAATAAATTAGTTCGACACAATGAAGCCATTAGACAGCATACGCTAGCAGATTTGAAAATAGCAAAAGTGAGTAAACGCATTTTTGCTGCATTATACAATGGATTATTTTCTGGAATTACAAAATAGGTTGTAATGTTCTATACAAAATTCGATAATTTGTGGTTGTTTTTTTTACAGAAAATGAGTATGAACTTAATACAACAATATTTTCGACAAAGTTTAGTATAGCAACTATAATAAAGTTAGCTAGGGTCTAGGACAAACATATCGTTTCAAGTTGCCAATATTGCATGAGGCAAAATTAATAAAATATAAAGCAAAATACAGGAAATAATATTAAACTACAATAGAAGTTTGAACAATCCAAAATAACCCATAAAATTAAAGAATACAAAGTTTGAATTGATGCCTGACTTGAAATTTATGAGAAATTAGATAATAATTTCAGCTACACTAATGTGACTAATCTCTCATCGTTTCATCTGTCATTGCATTCAATGTTGCATTTATAGTGGCAGTCGGGAGATAGCCCCTCTGAACCTAGGTTACTTATTAGTTCAAATTAGTCAGAAAAGGGTATCTTCAATCTCACGGAAGCTGATACACTCTGTGAGATTTTGGTAGGACTAACAGGTTTACATAGGTTCGTCACAGAGTGTTTACTGATATCATGTTACTTAGTCTTTAATACTGATTGATTCCTACCAATCAAGTCCCGATGCTGCCAATTTTCGAAGCGATATTATTTTCACATTGAACCGCGTTGTGTTTTTCTGATTCAACGTTTACTATTTACTGATTTCCGTGGTATTACTCCATAAAGTCATGATTTGTTGGACTGAATGATTTTAGGTAAGTGAGAACTACTTGTTTGGGGTCCTCTCGGTAACTGCGATAAGTGGATGGAGGTGTTGGGGTGATATGACTCAGAGTCGAATAAAATGGTTCAGATTCATCCAGTCTTTATCTTCCTTTAGACTTCGTTCTCAAACCATACTGTCCATGTCTTATGTTTTCTATTACTTTTGATACTATTTCTACTACTACTGCTCTATCATTTGTCTTGATAGTCTCATCCCACGGCACTAATGTTGTATTATAGCAACTTGATTCGGTGCAAGTATTTGGCAGACTTTATGTTACTTATAGCTGCGTGATTCAATTACTTACTTACACCTGTTACTCCTAATGGAGCATAGGCCGCCGACCAGCATTCTCCAACCCTGACTCAATTACTATCGCTAAAATAAGTATATATATATATATATATATATATATATATATATATATATATATATATATATATATATATATATATATATATATATATATATAGTATTTAACATTAAAATATATCACCAAATGTAAATCTCACCTGATCTATGTAATTATTGTTATGATAAATTATGGTAAAATAGATATTGATTGTATAGCACATTCACTAAAAATATTCCCAGATAAATCTTAACTCTGATTTATGTTGGAAAATTAAACATGTATGACCATATTTTTATTATAAATGTGAAAAAGGAACATATCAAGGCCAATTCCATTCTGAAAAAACGTAAGAACGACTAACACAAGAACACATCTATTTCATCTGTCAATTCTGTAACGGTTCTTTTCTCTGTACAATCTGAAATCAGAAAATTAATGACCTTGGCTACATAATTAGTTTGATTTTTTAGTCTTGTATACTTTGTTTTACGTTAATATCATTCAACTATACTTCTTAATCGGTTCCATAAATTATGACCCTTGAATAAATTGTACATGAATTAACTATAAATGCCCATTGAAGAATTCGTTTCAGTGAGTATAAAGATGCTAATCGTTGTTGCAAACATTCCATTTAAGATACTTTAGGTTATTTATTATTTGAAGGATAGGAATAAGCATTGTTATCATATACGAAATCTATCTTATAAATACATAAACTGCAGTCATCACACTGACTAAGGTGTATCAATCTCATTCCACCCAAAATGCCTCCCATCCGATTTGCTACAATACACTGATCCTATCTGTGTTTCGACTGTCTATAGTATCGCATTAGAGTCCATGCTTTTAATTTTCATTGTAATTTCTCATGTTATCATCGAAATACATTTTTAGAACCGTCTCCTCATGACTAGTTTACTTTTAGAAAACAAAGCGGAACCACAGAGAGTTATGCTTAATGCTTAGTTAAGGTAAAACTAGCTAGAAACACCCAAGCAGTCACTCCTGAACATCCAAGCCAATAAATAAATAAGGTATTTGTAATATCCCAATGAGTAGAAAAATCAGATTTTCTAACGTTTCGTGACTTAGTGCAAGCCACTTCTTCAGAGAATAAATAATCAAATTTAGACTAGTATGCGTTCCAGATTGAACCTGTTTGGGGTGCCATTAAAAACCAGGAGCACTGGACAACTGTTTGGTTCTTTAATAGAACTCCTTAGCTTTACACACTCTTGAAGTTTCCAGAGGTCGAACCAAGTAAATTTAGATCTCTCAGTAAACTTCCAAACTTAAAGCCACTGTGATATTCAATTCCAACTTCAATCAATTCATGATGTAACCCGACGATCATCTATTTCGTTTGGTGTCGACGACTTTAAATGTTATCCTGATTAAGATCAATTTATAACGAATAGTACCGAATAATTTAACAAACTTTCACAATTCACTTCAAATAAACCGTGTATATATTGATTTAAATGTTTACAAATATTTTTTCTAAAAAGTCATTGTCATAAAAAAATATGTTATTAATATTTATTCCGTAAATGTTCATTTATTTATATGTTTTCCAGAATATATGCCCAACATATTTTCCAGCAGATTATGCTATATTTGATCGATTTGTTGAAATGTATCATGAAGCTATCGGAATGCATGTAAGTTTAAACAATAATAATATACATTATGTTTTAATCTATACACACAGGTTGAAAGTTTAGTACTTGAGGGTCTATCTGATACAGAGATTGTACAACTACTAGGTTGGATAAATTCCTATCAGTAAGTTGCTTTTATCTTTATCATCGTTACAAAACTTATTTTTAGTACTGAAGAATTCATGAAAAATCCTTTCATGAATATTGACTTTAATCGATTGAATTTAAGACATCCAATTAATTTGTTACCTGATGAAAAATTAAATTCACTTCGAAAGCAGTAAGTTTTTAATATGATTATAAACTAGATGATCTTTAACTTCATTAATAATCTTGTCCTCTTTATTGAGAACACGAACCGATTTAACTTAAAGAACCATTAAAAACTTGGAAGCTCTTGACATCTGTTTCATCCTAATATCGAACTCGTCAGCAGTGCACGTCCACGACCGTTCCACAGAGATCGAACTAGCATCCTCGGTCGCCCACGCGAACACTTAACCATTAAACTAACTGAGCCTCAATTCGTCGGCGTATAAGTTTAACTCTAGTCAATTCGTGAGATTACGTGACCGTCTTCCATCGTCTCTTCCGTGCCATATGTGATGGATGCGTTCTACATTCCAGTGACAGCCTTTATCTAACCTTCATATAAATCTGTTCAGGTAGTACTTAACACTCGATTTTATAGACAATATGACTTCATTTTTTGCGTTAATTACAACTACCGTATTGGTACGAATTCAATAAAACAAGATTCACATTTGTCAAGAAGTTCGTGTAAAATCCTTCCGTTATGTGCTACATGCACCAATTATGAGATAGTCACATATTCCGTTACTACTTATTCTGTCTTGGAATTTTGTGGGAAAAATTATTTATTCAACGCCCTTGTTGAATGAATAATATCTGTCAGTGAAATCAATGATACACATTTTGTCTCCTTCAAGACTCGTCAATTACATTTACATATGTAGATACGTTTCACATTAGAAGAGAAAGTACCGGATCGGAATCAAGGAGTGAGCGTCAACATTATGATTCAGGTACATCGAGCTAACGAGTTCCAAATAGAACAAAACGCATGTCTTGATTTCCACTGCGAGCTACGATCCATCTATCCTATAAGAGCTTGTTGATAAAGTTGTTATATCAAGCCAGTACACTCTGGATACCCACATTTCACAAAACGAAACGATGGCTACCCAACATGTGTCTAAACTCTGAAGGTAATCGATGATGAAACTACGCAACCGAAAACGGAGATTGTGTGCCTTATTTGTAGCCTTGAGGTGCATTGCGAAGAGGGTAGGTTATAGAAAAGAAACACAAAATCAGACAAGCTACAGGCACAACCACATACGTAATGTGCAACTACTCACTCCAATGCTGTCTACTTGACAAATTGATCCAAGATCGTGATGCACTCCTTATTGCTAGCTGCATTTTCCTGGGATTCATTATATGACAATCGGCTACGGCTAAGAATTAGTTTCTACACGTTTTTTTACTTTTAACTTATCTAACTTCGTGGTTAGACTTATTACTTTGCGATCGTATGTGAGTACTGTCACAACCAATTTTCGTTCCGAAAACCTCTGAGCTTCAGTAATGTTGCATTCGATTGTTCAATAGCTTGACCGCTTTTGGCAGGCATTTCCTGGATACTCTGACAAGTGGGGTGAGTTTGCATGTTTATCCATACTCGGAAGGTTCGGCCTTCCTAATATCAATTTATAGTCAGTGAGTACCGATATGACGAAGATTCCATACTAAACCACAAATGCTCCCGATTATCGGTTAAAATCCAGTGTTGAGTAGTAGTAGTAGTAATAATTCTTTTCTGAAAGTCGGTACTGAATACACACCAGTTTACAGGCGTCATCAGGTTGATGCAAATTGTTAGTTAAGACTTAATTCACTTAATCCAGGACGAATTTAAATTAGTGAGTATTGAACAATGAGAACTGTGGGTAATGTAAATAAGCAAATCAGTATTGATACTTTTTACTCCTTACTGCAACGTGCTGTAGGCTACCAGTTGAAATTCGAGGAACAGATACTATGAACCACTGTATATAGTTCTCTGGTCACTTCTTGTTTGGCAATTTTTCTGTTGTCGATAGATATATGTCATAACTTAAAAGAAATCTATTCACAACATACTATTAAATATAACGATAGGTAGAGATCGTATTTCAGTCTACTAAAACCGTGGTAATAAATGAAGCGGACCCTTTTGTTTTGGTGCTTGCCTCGTTCTCATTTTACAGTATCGTTTTCTTGTTCGTTGGTCAAATACAGTCCTTTAAAATAAATATTTCTAGCGCATTATCCGCGCATTCTAGCAAGTCATACTTGTAATTTTTAGGAGTTCAATCTTCCACTGAAACTGGCACATGTAGTTCGTGACTGACGAATTCCAGAATTAAGAAACAGGGGAGCAATATATTTATTACTGTTCAGTAATCAGTTGTCTCATTCTTTTATTTTTTTTTGGTTACTCTTATTATGCTTGCTTTCACTTTGCATTCAAAGTCTTTGTACTCATTTACTTTTTGATTGAGTGGATCAGCCTTATTTCTTAAATCCCCCGGGGTAATTGTCACTATATTCGGTCGAGTCTCGAACAGAACGAGAATTGCGGTATTCTGGTATCCAAACCCATGCTTAAATGTATTTTCAGTTTAAAATATATGATGTTAAATGTTGGAATTTATGTCTTTGTGTTAAGTTATTATAGCTTTATTATAAATTTATATTACTCACAAGTAGTAGCATTTCACTTTGAGACTATTGTGTGAACTCGAATTTTTCGATTTCATCTAACTGTGACGCTGATTTATTTTCTTAGCTTTCGGCTGACTCTCATTACGGAAGAGAATTGTCACAGAAGCCATCACCATTCGCAATTTTCACACGATTAGTCGTTGCAATGGACACACATTAGTGCTCACTTTTTGGCCGGAAAAAAAATAATGTAAAATTTATCAATTTCGTGAATTTTTCAATCCCATTATTTTTATCTTTATAATATAATCACTACGTTACTTTATACATTTGGTTTATTTGTCTTTTGCTTCCGATAAACCCTTAAATTAAAACACTCATAGATTTATATTCTAATCATTTTTGTTCATCTGAACGGAATATCGAAAGTCACATCTGCAGTTCCATTTTTGTATCATATCATCAGTAGATCTAACATTATAATGGAAGTATTAAGTGCTACTTGACTTACGGTGATAAATTATTAAATTGATTTGGCATACATGGCTTTCATACCAGCAGTGGGGACGAGTTTATTTGCATAAGGATACAGTTTACACCACGAAAACTGGGATGTTCGAAGCCATATTTGCGCATTTTAAAAAAATTGATTGACTAAAGACGCAACTGGCATTCTAGTTCGGTTGTAATTGCGAATAGCTCACATTTTATTATGGTCGACGTAGACATCAAGGGCCTGGACTTCGTATCACATAGCGACAGAAACCTCATGTCGTAATTTGTGCAAAGTAAGAACTTCCTGTGGAATTCAATCGAGAAGCATCAGGAATAGAAGTATAAAGCGTTATGAGTCGAAATTCGTTGCAACAGTAACTAGTCGTGTAAAATAAGTAGTCCTTTAAGTTTTCAAAGTCAAAGCTAACCTCATTGGTTTTACTGGACTCATCCTTGCAGATGCCACTCGTCTAAACATCCGCATCAGATCACGATTGTTTATGCCATGCTCACTTCCCATGCTACTACTAGCCAAATTAGGCCAAACGCAGATCGATAGCTTTCCAAATATACCTCATGAAAAGTCTTGCGAATTGAACGCTATATTCGTTTCTTAAGCTATTCTGTAACCACCAAGCTAGAAATATACAGCGAGAGAAGACGCAAAGTATGCGAGAAAATACTCCAAGGTTCATTTTTGTACAGAAAACACGTATTTATAGATGTTAACACTTGTTAAATCAACATCATATTTTAGTCAATCCGCTAAAAGACATGTTATATTACTGATCAATAGTAGCACGCCACGTTGACATTCTAGAAAGCTCTATCATGCTCTGGTTGGCTAGGACTTTTCGGCTCCTCTGGAGGCTACGTTGCAGTTCTCCGAAAGCCGACTCAACACCGAATAACATTTCTTTCTAGGATCTACTTGTAGCTGCGTCTCATTATTCTTTTCGTCTGCCTTTTCAGTGTCCTTAAGCATATGTAGCGCTGGTGTGTCTAAGATTACCTACAATGGAAAATCTGGCCAGTTTTTTTCAAGTCTGCATCATCCTTTTGTCCTTATGGATTTGATTCGTATGTCGTATACATGTTCCAATACATCCTCGGAATCTGTACAGAACTTTTCCCAATTTCTGTACAACTTTTCCTGGTTCCCATCGGTTCTTCCCAATGTAGGATTTAATGAAAACTTCGTCGCCAATATTGAAGCTCTGGATATTTTGACTTTGCCCATCCACTAATTTGGATGGCGACATGACGTTGAAAACAGTCCGATTACGCCTTCCCAACATGGCTTCGACAGGAGACTTGCCGTCTGGAACATTTGGGTTCGGGGTGGCTCTGTAGGATGTTAAAAATATGTGATTACCTGTCCAGTTGTTAATTCGCCTCCCCCTTTCAGTAATGCTCGTCTGAAGGTGTCCACAAAGCGTTCTGCTTGTCCGTTCGATTGCGGATGATAGGGTAAAGAACGAAGATGAGTTATTCCATTTATGCTACAGAAATGCTTAAATGATTCTGCGACGAATTGCGAGTTTTTATCCGTTACTAAGATCTTTGGTACCTCAGAGCAGCTAAACAGGGTAGACAACTTGTGGATTGTTTCTGATGTTGTTCATTTTGGCATGGTATATACTTCCGGTCATTTAGCAAATGCATCTACGACAATTAGGAACATTGGTCCAGCGAAATCTGTGTGAAGTCTTACCCAGGGTCCTGCAGGCGAAGGCCAATACTGTGATTTGTATTTCAAAAGATTTTTAGTGGCTTGAGTGCGTGATGAACAGTCACGGCATTTATTCTCGATATCTTTGTCCATTGACGGCCAATAAGCATAACTACGAGACAACGATTTCATTTTATTGATTTCAGGATGACCACTGTGAAACTGCCTGAGAACCTTGTGACGTAATAACTACGGAATAACAATTCGAACAACGAACATAATACACGAGTCAACAACCATCAGTGAGTCCCATCGACGAAAATATTGTAAACGTTCTCCGTCAAGGCGATTGTTTGGCCATTTTGTCGAGCGATAGCATTTAACTGTGCTC